CCGAGGCTGGATGTTTCTAATTTTGGTGTTTCTATCTCGCATTTGGCTTGAGAAGGGTGTCTGAATCAACAGTGTTTCCTTTTCTGGTGCCATCTCTCCTGCGACAGCCATGAGTGGCCTTTTCAGTAACTCTCCGCGAGGGAAAGACAAAGACTTGGAGGCTGGAGTCAGCAGCTCCGCCGACTACGAAAATGATCCCTTCGATATTACAAGCACTAAGAATGCACCTGTAGAGCGTCTCCGCCGATGGAGGGTAATGTTTCCTGTTGCCCTGTACAAATATCTTATGCTCATTAATTCATTAATTATGACGTTCTGTGTTTGCATCTACATGCCTTTGCTAGATATAGCACTGGAATTTATTTCATATTCTTTCTGGTTTTCGATTCGAAGGAACTTGATATGCATACTGAATCACTGATTTTCAAGAATGTGTATTATATATGTATGTATGTATGTATGTATGTATTGCCTTGATTCAAATTATGGCTTTGAACATGGCTTTGATATCTAGCGCTAGTTCATTTGAAGTAGTCAAATGGACGAGAACTCAGGGCATGCTCAGCGTGTTAGAATTTGCTTTTGATGTTCTCGTAGTGTATGGTTTGACTTCTTATGTTGACTTTCCTAGGATCTTGCTTATTTTCTTTGTAGCAAGCCGCACTTGTACTTAATGCTTCCCGTAGATTCCGGTACACCTTGGACTTGAAAAGGGAAGAAGACAAGAAGCAGATGCTAAGGAAGATTAGAGCCCATGCCCAAGCAATACGAGTATACAAACTTTATTTGCTACTGGTTTGATAGAAAATTTAGTGTAGCTCTGATTTCTCTAATGAATGTTGTTCGCCTTGTTAGGCTGCACACCTTTTTAAAGCTGCAGCAAGCCGAGTTAATGGTATTTCCTTTCAGTTCTTACCCTTTTCCTTAGATTTCTTTTGCACATTCCAAATTTGGAAGATTATATTTGTCCTCTAGCAATGTTGCATTTACATTTGTAAATTGGGCAGAGTTTGCTGTTCAATGCTTTTTTGTAGTATGTGGCTTTTATTATTTTGTCCGGGAATATGAATAATGTTGCAGTCATAAGCACTGCCAGGAGTTGGGAGGATATTTGTTTCACTGGTTCAAGCTAAATTTTCAAATGTGAACGATCTTCCCTATATCGGAACTTAAGTTGTTCTAAGTCATTTTTCTGTTTGCTTCTGGTTGTTGAGTCTAGTTTATCATTGTAGTTGCAGCATAAACAGAACGGATGTTGACTTATTCTCCGGGGTGGCATCATCTGAATTCTTGAAAACCTGTTTCCATTTTTGTTGGAGATATTGTTGGTACTGGAATTTGCTTATTCACGGGTGGACTGGGTTCTATCTGTTTCATGGAATGAAATGTTTGCACACATTTTGGGGATTGATTTGTGTTGTTGACTGGGTTCTTTTTCTTTTTCAAGGATTACCAAGTTCACCCTCTACCCCTAGTGGTGGTGATTTTGGAATTGGACTGGAGCAGATTCTGTCGATATCAAGGGATCATAATATTGAAGCTCTCCAAGAAATTGGAGGGGCATGTCTTTTCCTGATCTATTACTGTTCTCAATGTCGCTTATTTCTTTATCCTTGACTATAAAGTTTATTCATATATGTTGTTTTTTCTCCCAATATTAGGTCAGAGGGTTATCAGACCTGTTGAAAACTAACATGGAGAAGGGTATTCAAGGGGATGATGATGACATAACGAAACGGAAAAGTGCTTTTGGTTCAAATACTTATCCCCGGAAGAAAGGGAGGAGCTTCTGGGTATTACTGCTTTTTCTCTTTTCTCTGTAGCAACTTTCATTTCGAGGGTTTTCTTCTCCGATATATGAAATGCTTCTAGTTATTTGACAACTTAATTCTTTTTTTGGCTTATGCTGGACAGAGGTTTGTCTGGGAAGCTTCTCAGGATCTTACTTTAGTCATACTGATCGTGGCTGCACTTGCTTCTTTAGGACTGGGGATAAAGACTGAGGTATGCATTTGTAGGAATTGGTTCACTGTGTTTAGCTGAATGCATTTTTGAGAAGTTGAATTTTTGTTCCTCTAAATCTTTGAGTTTTACTAAGATTATGCAGGCTTATATGTGAGAACTTTAGAACAACTGGGCAATACTTACGAAATAATGAGTTTGCAGAATTACTGTTCTCGTTACTCTAATGAAGAATTTGTTGTAAGCTTATCTCATGGTCTCGTGCCTTGATTATACGGTTATACCTGAATGGCTTGATAGCACAATGTTAAGTTTCTTTTCCTATGCTTTGGTAGTCACCTTAAACTTTTAATATATGAGGCCGGAAGGGTTTAATATATGCTTTTCCTATGCTTTGGTAGTCACCTTTGACTTTTAATATATGCTTTGTCAGATTGTAATTTTCTTCTATTTGTGTTGATTTTGGTGCCTCTTTTACTGCGACTTTACTTGTAGGGTATCAAAAAAGGATGGTACGATGGTATAAGCATCGCTTTTGCTGTCCTCCTTGTCATTGTTGTGACAGGTATAAGTTTGCCCAAACTGGAGTTGTTTGACTCTCCTTTCCAGCTTTTGTTCCTAGTTGGCTAAATTGTATATCTTTTCCCTCGGCAGCTACCAGTGACTTCAGGCAATCTCTTCAATTCCTGAATTTAAATGAGGAGAAAAGAAACATACGTCTGGAGGTGGACTCTTGAACAATCATACTTTAGAGGTCATAAATGCTATTGTTTCCTTTGGTTTCATATTTGAAGGTGTGTTGTGCTTATGTCCCCAGGTTACCCGAGGTGGAAGAAGAATTGAAGTTTCAATATATGACATTGTGGTAGGCGATGTTATACCCCTCAATATTGGTGATCAGGCAAGTGGATCAAGAGTTACTGAATGCATTATTTGCTGTTTTCTCGGTTTCAATCTAGATTTTACATCTTATGTTTAAGCTGCAAAACAATTCAGGTACCTGCTGATGGAGTTCTAATTTCGGGACATTCACTTGCTATTGATGAGTCCAGCATGACTGGGGAGAGCAAAATTGTATACCTTACCCTTTGTCCTTGCATTTTCAGTAATGTTGTCTTTGTATTTCACGTGTCTTAGTAATCTGTTTCGTGGCAGGTTCAAAAAAATCCATCTAAGGATCCATTCCTAATGTCTGGATGTAAAGTGGCGGATGGCAATGGAACAATGCTGGTAAGATCCAGTGGAAACTTACTTTTCCCTTTTAGTGCAAAGGAGTGGCTTAATAATCTTGGAGCTGTAGTTTTTTCCAGAGAAATTGGGGAGGAATAGTTTCCTTTGTTTTGAGTAGAGGTTCGGGCAAACAAAATTAGTCGTGGTGGGGTAGTTAGAACTGCAAAAAACTAGGTTTTGTGGAGTTCATTCCTCTGGTGGGAAGGATGCTTGTAGGAGTTTAAATTTCCAACAAGGGTTGTATATTCATGAATTGCTAGTTTATGGCAACAAGGTATCATGCTCATACCAGTTTCAGCTGAACGTTTCAGAGTAATGTCTTTGGTAGTGGGTGATGAAGAGGCTGCTGATGTGTGTCATGTCAACTTAACCCATTTTTGTCTGTCTATTTTTGCCTTGTACTGTTATACACTTCTTCTAATACTCGACTTTCTTGTCAATACTTATGCTCCTGCTATCCAATCAGAAATTACACAAGGAGCAAGAGAGTTCATATTTGCTCACTTTTGAATTCTAAATGGAAGTTCTTAGCCTTACTAAGACAATTTTGAGCAGTCGTATAACAACTAACATTGTAGAAAACTTTTCCTGCTCAGGTTACTGGTGTGGGGATCAACACTGAATGGGGCTTGTTAATGGCTAGTATCTCAGAAGATAATGGAGGAGAAACACCATTGCAGGTGAGTTTATGCGTTTCATATTTGTATCTTTTCTCTGCCCAATATTTTATAATCAATTCCTACTTTTTTTCCTCAGGTACGCCTGAATGGTGTTGCAACATTTATCGGGGTTGTGGGGCTCACGGTTGCTGGGGTTGTACTATTCGTCCTTGTCGTTCGGTGGGTTTGGATTTTCCTCTAACATCTAAGTACTGTTTAGGGCAAATATTATTGCTTATGGACAAGTACTGGTTGTTTGCAGATACTTTACTGGTCACACAGAGAATGCTGATAAAACTCCACAGTTTATCAAAGGAAAGACAAAATTTGATCATGTTGTAAATGATATGGTTAAAATTATCACAGTTGCGGTAAGTTTATTTGATTCGATCAGCCTAACTAATTTTGTAACCAGAGCATTCTGCAGACATCTGGTCATTCAACTCAAATTCTTGAATTCTGTAGGTTACAATTGTGGTAGTGGCAGTGCCTGAAGGACTTCCTTTGGCTGTTACCTTGACGTAAGTCTGCTGTCTTCAATGAGGTTATTCAAATGATAGTATTTTCTTCAGAATCTGAAACTACCTACTTTCACTTCCCATACGCTTTACCTTTGAAAAAGATTTTAGTGTGACTTTGCCGTGAAATCATTTTTCTGGTTCTGGCTGCCCATAGTAGACTTGATGGTGTCAGTATAAAATTCTCTGGAACAAACTTATTTGTCTGACCAGTTCAGGATGCCTTAAAGGACCCGGGTCGCCTACATACTAATAATGAGACACGTGTTCAATCACACGTTTCTTATCATCTTTACTGATCTGGTCTCCTCCATATTGGCAGCCTTGCATATTCCATGAGAAAGATGATGGCAGACAAAGCTTTGGTATGGATGAGTATAATTTCTTTTGAACTTGAATGCATGAGTGTGTACGTATATGTATACAAATACTTCATATACATGTATGTTTGCATCTTAAATCCAAGTTGGAATTCAGGTACGCAGGCTTTCTGCCTGTGAGACTATGGGGTCTGCAACAACAATTTGCAGTGACAAGACCGGAACTTTGACATTAAATGAGGTTAGTCTGGTTCTCATCCTTCCTCCAAAGTAAATTGACATTGCAGTTTTTGTATTCCCTGCTGGCGAGCACTTAGTCAGGGTTTTGACATGATATACTGTTGCTATTTATTGTTGTTGTCCAATTGTATTGCTGTCATGCAAATTCCCTAAAACTTAACCTGTGTACAGATGACAGTTGTCGAGGCTTATACCGGTTTCCAGAAAATGGATCCTCCAGACAGCCACGCAAAGCTGCCACCTACATTTACTTCTTTACTTGTTGAAGGAATTGCTCATAATACAAGTGGCAGTGTGTTTCAATCTGATGTAAGATTAAATAATTCGTTTTGGCGGTTGTCCATTTTATGGGTATTTTACTTGAGCTGAAATGGATGTTTACTGATCACAGCATGGTGAGACAGAGGTTTCTGGATCTCCAACAGAACGAGCAATTCTTAATTGGGCGATCAAGGTTTCTTTTCTAGCTTCATTTTCTGATTCTAAATTTTGTAACCATGAGATCTAAACTTGTTAATGGTTTTTCCCTTTTGCAGTTGGGCATGAATTTTGATGCTATAAGATCAGACTCCTCTGCTATTCAATTTTTCCCATTTAACTCGGAGAAGAAACGTGGAGGTGTTGCTGTGAAATCGGTAATGTGTTTCCATTTTGTCCCTTCTGTAAATATCTTGTGGAAACAATTGGTTGATGTTTTCCACTTGGGATGAGAAATGCACATGTTATGGCTGTTCCAGCGTTATAGTTGTAGACCTTTTTTGTCTTAATACTTTGTTTTGACCTTTTTTTTGTCCTCATTATGCATTTGGTCATGCACTTTACTTTGTGCTTTTACTCCATTTCAGTCAGATGCCAAGGTCCAAATTTATTGGAAAGGTGCTGCTGAAATCGTTCTGGGCTCATGCTCACGTTATATGGATGAGGGTGAGAGTTTGGTAGATATGTGCGAAGATAAGGTTGGCAACACCGGCTTTTCTTTGTTTCGTGATTTCATTGGCGATGAGCATTAGGAAAAATCGTGTGTCATAAATTGTGTTCTATTGCCGTATTTGAATTGATCCCTTGCTATGAAATCTAAATTCATTTAGAATAATCTATTTGTTTCTTCTTAGTATTTTCCTTATGCTGCACCTCAAAACAATGCCTAATATGTTGGTGTAAGTGCGACTATGCCTTATGCTGAAGCAATTTTTGGTGTTTCAGATGGAAGAATTGAGAAATGCTATCGATGACATGGCTAAAAGGAGTCTACGGTGCGTTGCAATTGCTTACAGACCATATGAAACCGATAAGGTTCCAACTGATGAAGAGCAGCTTTCTAAATGGGTTTTACCAGAAGATGACCTTGTCTTGTTGGCTATCGTTGGTATAAAGGTAAGAGTCAACCATATTTCTAGTTTCCCTTCCTTCCGAAGGCCATAAGATATTTGAGATAAATTGATTCAAGCTTTGTCACCTGGAATACATTGCAGGATCCATGTCGACCTGGTGTCAAAGATTCAGTTCTGCTTTGTCAACAGGCTGGGGTCAAGGTTCTCATATATTCATTTTCTTCTCCCCTTGAGATTTTCTGCTCATACTTTGTGTATATCCTCTGGACCACCTCGGGTTCTGCAAGGGCGGCCTATGGTCTCTTATTTTCCAAATTGACCTCAGGTTCGCATGGTTACCGGCGATAACATTCAAACTGCCAAAGCCATCGCTTTAGAATGCGGGATATTAGCTTCAGATTCAGATGCTAGTGAGCCTAATCTGATCGAGGGAAAAACATTTCGTTGCTTTTCAGAAGAGGAAAGAGAGAGGATTGCTGAAAGGATTTCGGTAAGATCTTTGGATTTAGTTTCGGAACTTCACATCACATGTGACATCATATGGTGGATGTTTCATGGTGTCTAACATGGTTGTTGAATTTGAAGGTCATGGGTAGGTCATCACCGAACGACAAACTTTTGCTTGTGCAAGCACTGAAGAAGAGGGGGCATGTTGTGGCTGTGACTGGTGATGGAACCAATGATGCTCCTGCATTGCATGAGGTTCATGATAATTTTTATTTTTTTAATCCAAGTTACATGAAGGGGAGCCTTGGCGCACCGGTTAAGGTGTTGCCGTTGTGATCTAGAGGTCACGGGTTCGAGTCCTGGAAGCAGCCTCTTGCAGATATTTCTGCAACGTAAGGTTTGCCTACAATACACCCTAATGGTGGGACCCTTCCCCCGACCCCCGCTCACGGGGACGCTTTGTGCACCGGGCTGCCCTAATCCAAGTTATATAAAAATGTCGCCATATGTAACCTAAGACTAATGATATCGAGGATGGTTATTTCTTTCAGGCCGACATTGGTCTTTCTATGGGTATTCAAGGGACTGAAGTAGCAAAGGAAAATTCAGATATTATCATCCTGGATGATAACTTTGAATCAGTTGTAAAGGTAAGTATCCTTGTAAAACAGCTGACCAGAACTGCTGGAAGAATAAGTTTCTGCTGGTTCTCTTCTTTTGCACAACCTAAGACTCACCGATTTTCTGTAGATGTTGGTCTTTTAGACATTTATCATTAATGAATGATCTTTATTTGGGTATCCTATCCACTTTGCATTTGTCTGTTTTTGTAGGTCGTCCGGTGGGGTCGGTCCGTATATGCCAATATCCAAAAGTTCATCCAATTTCAGCTCACGGTTAATGTTGCTGCACTTGTCATTAACGTTGTGGCTGCAATGTCCTCGGGCCATGTTCCACTAACCGCAGTGCAGGTTTGATATTTTTCTCATAGCCAAACACGTTTCATCTCTTTCAAATGCGACAAAATTCTCAAATAAATATTTCCGAATCTTGTCGATGAGAAAACGGTTTTCTCCCTCTGTAGCTGCTTTGGGTGAATCTTATTATGGACACTCTTGGGGCTCTGGCTTTAGCCACCGAGCCACCAACTGACCACTTAATGCAAAGGCCCCCTGTTGGCAGAAGGTACTCATCACAAGCTCCTAGTCTTCTCTTTTTTTTTTTTTGGAATGTTGGTTGTAACGATTTTGTTTTATTTTCCAGGGAACCTCTCATAACGAATATCATGTGGAGGAACTTGTTTGTACAAGTAAGTCGCCATCTGTTAAGATTCGTATTAAACTGAAAAGAACCAAAATTACTAGATAAATCCAATTGTATGGCAACCTCAGGCGATGTACCAAGTGACCATTTTGTTAGTCCTCAATTTCCGGGGCGTAAGTATTCTTCGTCTGGAGGATTATCGTGATCCTGTAAAAGTGAAGAATACAGTAATCTTCAATGCCTTTGTCCTCTGCCAAGTAAGATGTTTTTTTTAAACCATTTTTGTCCAATGAACATTCTTCTAGGCGTATAGATTTGAGTACAGAGCGAAATTTATTGTTTGAACCGCAGATATTCAACGAATTCAACTCGCGGAAGCCAGATGAAATGAACATTTTCGTAGGAGTTCTCAAAAACCGCCTCTTTGTGGGCATCATCTTCATCACGGCTGTGCTGCAGGTGAGAGAAGACTCATTTTATAGATTTTAATGTTTCGTTTATCTATTTCTTATTTTAATTTAAAAATGCGTCTCGTGTCTTGGAGAATGCCTTCGCCTGTTTCGACATACTTTTGCACTTGGGGTGCGACTCAGGCTTTCTAGAACTAAGCTCGTCCAATTCTCTTGTTCGGAACTATATAAAATAGGTGGTCATCGTCGAGTTCTTGGGCACGTTCGCATCGACAACTAAGCTGAACTGGAAGATGTGGCTTGTCTCGATAGGCATAGGATTCATCAGGTTGGTTACCTCTCTCTCATATATATATATTTATATATATATTATATCATAAAAAAATGATTTGAATAAAACAAGAGAAACATGAACTTCATCTCTCTTGTTGAAACACTTAATAGTGTCATAATCCGTTTGCAAGAAGATGATGATTCATCATACTAAAACTGACAAAAGGGATTCTGTTTTTTTTTTAATGTTTGATGTGTGTGTGTGTGTGTGGATCAGTTGGCCGTTGGCTTTGATAGGGAAATGCATCCCTGTCCCCAAAACTCCCGTCGGAGAAATTATTAAAGCTTGGATAAGCCGATGGAGAAGAAATTCACCAGGTAATCTATTAATAATAATAATAATAATAATAAATACACCCTTTTTAATAATGCTTCCAAATATGTCCGAAAGATGTTTCCTAAGTTGACTTCTTTATTCGTTTCAGGTTAAATGTTAGATTTCAGAGGAAGCTTATATTATATGTCTCCAGATGTCCAAAAATGATGGAGTTTTTATTTTCCTAAATATGCATCAAGACTGAAGCAAATATTATATATATAGAGCTCTTCTTTGGTTTGTTCTGTCACTATTAAGGGTTCAAAGTTCAAAGATATACAATCCCCACGTTTTCAAGTTTCAACTACAAAACTTATTTTATTAACACAAAAGTCTGAGAGATTCAAATTTTGGGGTTTCTTATGGTTGCATTTGTATGTTTGTATATGCAAATTCCGTACGTACACACCTTTTATGAAATCTACGAGTGACTGAGGTTGTAATGAAGCAGGGAAAGGCTCTGTTCTCATCGATCGCGGTCAATTTCTTCTTTGTGATCATCTTCGGTGTGTATCCATTCATCCTTCTCGTCTCACCCACGGTCCATGCTGGTGTTTCTCTGATGGGAACCGTCATTTTTCTGTGATTCCCATAAATAAACACAGGTATGGATAGTGAACGATATGAGAAGAATGATCGGGTGCGAACCGACGATGGTAACAGAGAGAAGCTAACTGCTAGCGACGTGAACAGAAGTCTTTCCTGTCTCGTCTCTTGATCACTTTCGCACCTATCGTGGATAAATGGAACAACTACGAGTGACTGAGGTTGTGATGGAGAAGACAATGGAAGTGATGCATCGCCTCTTCAACCGGAGCATACCTTCCTTTCACATAAGCCGGTGATTCTAAACCCCTTTGAACATTCTCACACAGCACTATATCTTCCATCTGTTCACTCACACACAGTTCCAATCAATGGATATGAATGACCCATCTCCCGCCAATAAAATGTTTTACCGTTAAAAACCAAAGTCGAATCAAACCGAATATAATATAAACTCCAAATGGATATAGATTTTCTAAACCGAAAGAGCTGAACTTGAACCAAAGACCGAAATGTCTATCCCTAGTGGAGGATATCGTTCAATTACCTGAACCCTTTCGCTCTCTTCCAGGCTTCTCTCGATGAAAGACTCATCTTCCTGAATCAATAACAAGCGGCGTAAAGAATTCGGATCATTCTTGTGGAAATACAGGGTTTGATTGATTACCTTTAGGAAAGGTTCAAGAAAATAGTCGAAGACTACTTTGCATTTCCTTGGCCCTAGTGGTATCACAAGATTTGTGTCCATCCAAGGTCCATACCTAAAAAATTACTCATCCTTTAAGAGTTGTGAAAAACATTAAAAAATCGAAGATTAGATTAGATCACCTATTGATCATGAAATTTGGGTAGATGAAAGCGTATAGAGCTTTTGATCCGAGCCTATCATAACCATCTTCTCCAGCCTTGGAACCTCCTCCACATTCTTGGATACTAACCCTTTCGAGCATCTGGTTTATATCATACAGCTACATATCATCAGGAGCTATAAACTAAAACCATGGTTGTAACCGCATCAAAAATTAAATACCGTTGTGGAATAGGAGTTGAGATCGAGGCCGGATGCCAACCCTTTATGTGCATAAGGTACGTGATATCCGCCGTCTAAGTAGTTATCACAGAACACCTGCATAAAAGGTGATGAGTGAGTGGTCTTTTATGAACCTTTTGGACCGTGTTTTCTCTATAACCATATTTTCAGCCTTTACAATATAGAGAATATTATGACCAAGGAATTGCACCTTCCAGTTGCAATCAATGGTGTATTCGCGTCTGCAGATGTAACTCAGTGAATCATCCACACCACCTTGGCTCAATATATTCGCAGAGCTACCGAGCCAGTCTTTCGCCACTGCATCATCATTCCTAAATTCTTCCCAATTCGATGTATTTTGGTTCATATTAAGGAGAACAAAGGGCCCCCAGACAGCTACACTTATAGGTTTAAGCCCCATCTCCTGTTCTCATGGTTAATCCAAGATTCAGACTATCCCTTCAACAGGGAAAAAATGTCAAGTAATAGATAGATTTCATGTATAACATGACCCTCCATACTTGTGAATAAAAATTCTCTATCCCGGTCATTCTAGTTGCCTTGACAAGTGATCCGCTCAATCCGTACGTCCATCCCTGCCAAAGAACGAGGATACGAAGAAAGAGAAAGTATAATGAGACTGCTCGACCGAATATTTCCCGAAATTGCATGTGCTTTCTCATAATCAGTCGGGTCAAGATTAAGAATAGTTCCAGCATAGTGTTTACATGGTAAGGGCATACGAAACACGACTTTTTCCCACTCCCAGATGCCAGAATGGAGGCATGATGGGAGCATACATTGTGGAAAGCATGAACCTTTCCGTTATCGTCTCGACATACCAAATATTCTACATCCCCGAGCCTGCAACATGCGTCTCATACTCTCAGCTTTTACAAACATTGAAGATACCAAGAAACAGTGTACACATTTCAATCACAGGAAAGAGTAACTGCGAAACACATTGCGAATGACAGAAAAAGCTTCACTGTAACTGCAACCATAATCAGCTCATCCATACAAAGAAACAATCAATCCAAAAGTATACCTCCCTGTGAAAAAGTGATGAGGTTCCTTTATCTGCTCGGAAAATCCTGACGATCAACAAGCTATAACAGAGTAAGAAGCCTTCCGAAGCAATCAACTTTTTCAAACATCATCTCCAATCATTTTGAAATATCCGGAAATGTAATAGAGAAAATTTATGCCTACCTCTAACTATGAACAAATGATCTGTTCAAGACAAAGAACACGAATATGCTGATTCCTAACAGGTTCTCTGAAATATATGCAAAATCCTAAATCGTTCTTCTTAAGCGTTCTCTTAACTGCCAACGAGAGATGATAACTTATACATCGAAAAACTACACCAAAATAAACAATTTATCAAAGATAAATCGCGACAAGAAAACTTTGAGTGGATCAAAAGATCAGGGAACGAACGTACCAACGGCTTGCCATCCTCCATAGAAGACCCGATCGAGCTCTAGACGGTGGAAATCCGGATCAGTGTACCACGAACTCGGCGGAGTTGCAGACCACTCGACCGGAATTTCGGGATCGAACTCATCGATTAGCTTACGCACCTCAGAAACGGCGGCGATTCTTCTCGAAGAGCTTGTGTCTCGTCTACAGCTCAGGATCGAACGGAGAGATCTTCTCCGGCGAAATCTAGAGCCAGAAGAGAATATCTCACCACCAGAGTCGCAGAATTTTCCGGTAACTCTCAACACCGGAGTGAAAATCTCCGGAATCTCCGCCGTCGGAAGCATCGTCGTTATCGCGGCCATTATCGTCCTGAGTTGCTCTGTTTTTCTAAATTCTATCGCTCGTACGTTTTCTAGATCTTTTGTTTTTTCGAAATGAAGAGGAACTTTTTATTTATTTTCCGTTATCGACTTGCAAGACAAGAGTGTACGGAAAAAGTGAATGTGCAAGTTGTTATAAGAAACTAATTAATGAATAAAGATAAATCAGAAATTAGACTGAATCGAAAGTGCAGAGAAATATAACCGAGCCAATATATTTCGATATCCCAAAATTTGTGATACAATATATTTCAATTTTTTAAATAAATATTTTTATCAATAAAAAATAAATCCGAACCGAACCAAATTTAATATATAAACGAATGGTTATAATTTTTTTTATAATCGAAACAATAGAATTGAAATATATTCAGACCGAACCAGTAAGAAAGCCCGGAATGGTCTGCCGATTATTAATAGATAATAGAAATGGCTTCTAATTGAATATACTAACAGCAAAACAGATGAAAAAAAAAATATTTTTCCTTATTCATCAAAATATATATCTATACATTCATGCATACACGTGATACGATAGGCATCTTTTAGAGAGAGAAAGAGTTAGGTTAAAAAAGAAAGAGAGAATCAAGATAGGTACGGTCAAACTATGATATAACTGGCCACAGTAGGTTCCATCGCAAACGGATTTGATTTGGTAGGCACACTTGACTATTTGACGTATACTTATATATATATATATATATGTTTATATGCCTTTTAGTTGGAATGTTATTTTCATTTCGTATACTTATATATATATATATATATGTTTATATGCCTTTTAGTTGGAATGTTATTTTCATTTCGTATACTTATATATATATATATATATGTTTATATGCCTTTTAGTTGGAATGTTATTTTCATTTCGTATACTTATATATATATATATATATGTTTATATGCCTTTTAGTTGGAATGTTATTTTCATTTCGTATACTTATATATATATATATATATGTTTATATGCCTTTTAGTTGGAATGTTATTTTCATTTCGTATACTTATATATATATATATATATGTTTATATGCCTTTTAGTTGGAATGTTATTTTCATTTCGTATACTTATATATATATATATATATGTTTATATGCCTTTTAGTTGGAATGTTATTTTCATTTCGTATACTTATATATATATATATATATGTTTATATGCCTTTTAGTTGGAATGTTATTTTCATTTCGTATACTTATATATATATATATATATGTTTATATGCCTTTTAGTTGGAATGTTATTTTCATTTCGTATACTTATATATATATATATATATGTTTATATGCCTTTTAGTTGGAATGTTATTTTCATTTCGTATACTTATATATATATATATATATGTTTATATGCCTTTTAGTTGGAATGTTATTTTCATTTCGTATACTTATATATATATATATATATGTTTATATGCCTTTTAGTTGGAATGTTATTTTCATTTCGTATACTTATATATATATATATATATGTTTATATGCCTTTTAGTTGGAATGTTATTTTCATTTCGTATACTTATATATATATATATATATGTTTATATGCCTTTTAGTTGGAATGTTATTTTCATTTCGTATACTTATATATATATATATATATGTTTATATGCCTTTTAGTTGGAATGTTATTTTCATTTCGTATACTTATTTTCCCCCCAAAATAACGAGCTAAAAGTTTATGATTTTTTTAAACATATGTAAAAAATAAATTAAAAGTCAAAATGTGGGAAAAAAAAGGGAAAAGAAAATAGATATTTTTAATAAAAAATAAATTAATGAATTAAATAATAAGGAGGGAGTGATTTGCGGTGGTTGAGTTTAATCAGAGGCCGAGGAGCTTGGTCACCCTCTCGTCCACACTTCCTTTTCCGGGGCCTTCAATGTTTTACTTAATTTAAAAAAAAAAACAAAAAAAATTCAAATATTTAATTCACCAAATATTCTTGTCCGTACATATCTCTAAATATATTATGTGCATGCACATATACACATATGCGCGTGACCATATAAGCAAAAAAAGATATTTGTAAAATTCCTTTTAATTTTCGTTCTTCTTCCTCATTTTGTTCACCATTTTCCTTTCTTCAACAATTCTCAAGTATATATACACGCACATATATACATATACATATACAGACATACATTCATAGGGCTTGGAAGGAAAGATGATATGCGAGGAGAGTTATCAACACCAATGCGAGAAGCAACATGGACAAAAGGAGCACACGATGACGATGAGGGTGGATCACCATAAACATCATCAAGAGAGGAGAACATCATCGCCATCATCATCATCCATGACATCCAATTTGGAGGAAGAGATGTTGGAGGTTGTGAATTTGAGTGGAATGGCATTGCTATCTCTCCCCAATCCTTCTCTCAATTTGGCCCACATTTGCAAGCTTGATCTCTCCAACAACCATCTCCAGGTTCGTATGTTTCACATATATATATATATATATGTATATATATTTGCACAATTTATATGTAGCTTTTTTTGCATCCATATATGTTCTTGCAGATGGAATATTTGGTGGCAATGCTAATTGTCTTGCCTTGATGAGACAATATATTGTGTGTGTATACATATACACACACACACATATATATATATATATATCCAATAAAATCAAATTAATACCTTCTATTTGTTTCATCCCTGTATACCACCAGGCTTGAGAAACAGATATGTGTCATATATCATATATCGTACTACTTATATATGTGCGTATATATAGATTAGGAAAACATCTGAAATAATTAAATATGATATATACATATATATAATTAAATAAATGGGGATCAGTTCTGATTTGGAATCCCCACCGAGAAATCAGGTAATAACGGATCGTTGGTTGAATTTCATTTGATGAAGCAGAGCATACCGGAGTCATTAACAGCAAGACTTCTGAATTTGATGGCATTGGATGTTCGCTCGAACCAGCTCAAATCACTTCCCAACTCCATTGGCTGTCTCTCCAAGCTCAAGTTCCTCAACATCTCTGGCAATTTTCTCATTTCCCTCCCCAAAACTATCGAATATTGCAGGTTCACCCCACGACAACATTCCCATCCTATCATCATCACGTCAAGACTAAAAACTAAACTAACTTCATCTTCTTCCTGTGTTTTTCAGATCGCTTGAAGAGCTGAATGCTAACTTCAACAAACTCATCAAGTTACCAGACACAATGGGTTTCGAGCTAACCAACCTGAAGAAGCTGTCTGTCAACTCGAACAAGCTCATCAGCCTTCCATACTCCGTCACTCACCTCACCTCCCTCCGTACCCTCGATGCCCGTCTCAACTGCCTCATGTTCCTCCCGGATGATCTCGAGAACCTAATCAACCTCGAGACCCTCAACGTCAGCCAGAACTTCCAGCACTTGACCGCTCTCCCTTCCTCCATCGGCCTCCTCATGAACCTCGTAGAACTCGATGTCAGTTACAACAAGATCGCGGCTTTACCCGATTCCATCGCCTGTATGAGGCGGCTAAGGAAGCTAAGAGTCGAGGGCAACCCGCTCGTGTCCCCGCCCATGGAGGTCGTGGAACAGAGCTTGCAAGCTGTGAGGGAGTACCTGACTCAGAAGATGAATGGCACTGGGCAGAGGAGTCCCACCAAGAAGAAATCGTGGGGGTTCGGTAAATTGGTGAAGTATGGAACATTCAACGCGCGATCAAAGAAGTGGGCGAGGGAGGAGAGGGACGGATTCATCATGCCAGAGTACCGTACGATCGATGGCCTTGCTTCCCCTCGGTACGGTGGAATGTTCTCCCCACGACGTCTCTTTTCCCCGAAGACCTATTTCAGCAGATAACCATACAATGCAGAGAAAGAGAGAAATCCCATATTCCAGCAAGCAGTGCATATTTGTAAAGCATTTGGTTCGAAACAATTCAATGTGTCACAAATTGCCTTCAAGGCATCATACATTGTATCAAAGGGTGTAATACGCATGATTTCAGATTTCAGGATGCTTGTTAATTTTCATTCTTCATATCTGCCCACACACACTGTCTAGATTAAGTTGATGAATAAAGTGCTTTACCTTTAAGAAAATTCATCCCCAACACTATCAAAATCTTTTAGACACTATTGACAGACTCATATTTATAACCGGAGGAAAGTAAGTAAGATCATGCATGATTCAGGACAATTCACAACAGTCAAAGGAACTCGATTTCCTATCTTCATTCCCCTCCTCGATCTACACACATTTGATGATCTAAAGGCCCTTTCCCATCAGTGGCATAAAGACAACAATCAAAGGAACCCGATTTCCTATCTTTTAGTTCCTCAGCCTGAATTCAAGCATCACTTCAAAGGATCACGGTTCTCTCAAGTTTGGACTAGAGCAAATGAAATTTGGCTGGAACCCAGCAAAAAACATTAGCTCGTTGTTTCCCCCTCCCCCCTTCTATTATTGCTACGAAGAAATACACAACATTAAATTCAGCTCAGGCTTGAACAGGGAATGCATTCTCCCTGAGACAGTAGAGTAATCGTATACAGACCTCAAAAAAATCAAAGAAGATGCGACCTTCTTAACATCATCGACAAGAGACCCAACACTCAGCTGAAATTTCCATTACCAAACGCTAAGCAAACAGGAAAATTCAGAATCTGGTTCACATCTGTCAGGAAATGCTAAGAATGTGTATTGGAATAATAGATGAAACTCAGCATGCAGCTGGAGAACCAAGTTCGATAGCCTAGAAACACCAAAAAGACATAACTTTCCCATTCATCCATCTAAAACTCGACAACCCATTACACACTGCAGTGATCTAAACCTAATAGAGATAAGCGGGAATCTTAATGCGAATGAAGAGCATACTCATGACATAAGCGAGTACAACAGATGAGATCCCAGCCGTTGCATAAGATACCTTGACGCTCTTGGCTCGGTTCTTGTCAAGCGCCAGATCCAGCATCACGATCCCGATCCCACCGAGCACGAACATGAATCCCGAAGACAGACCCTCGATGATGTACTGCCCATTGACCCGACCCGACATGAACACGACGGGTCGTACGGACCCCGTCACTGGATCCTGAATCGACCCGATGCCCGGAGGCTCGACGATCACGTCGTAGACGAAGCCGGAGATGACCATGAAGTACGTGAGGAGGATCAGTGAATAGACCGTCATCGGAGACGGGAGCGTGAAGGAAGGGAGCTTGAGGCGGAGACGCGGCGGCCGGAGAAAGGAGAACGGGAGGATCCGGAGGAGGTGGAAGATCGGATCAATCGACGACTGAGCCGATGAGTCCGACGAAGCGGAGCCGGTGGATAGGGTTTGGGAATCGGGTTTCGGCGCCATTTTATTCGGCTCCTGCGTTGGATCTGTCGTCTCAGTCGTGTGTCAGTTCTGTGGATCTCTTTCCTCACCAACGACTGTACTAGGAAGAAGAGTCTCAGAGTTGGCTTGTTTGGGTCTTAGTATTACTTATCCGTGGGACGCATACGAAATTCCTGGATTCCGATATCACCTAGGAGTAAAAATAAAAAAAATGTGCCCAAGGAGACTCCACATCGTGCCGTTCAATGAGAAAAGCGGAAGGCAAAACGTCACGCAGTTTCCTCGTAAATTGCATATCCGGCATGACTCGGCCGTTAGTTTGAATTCATGAGAAAAAAGGGACAAGCATTCCCTGTATTCGTGTTTTCATCTTCAAGCTCTGAATCTGATCTTCAACTTTACTCGACGAAAACCTTATACGAGGTTGTTCTCGGTTTCTTCTTCTAGATCAGTCCGATCATCTTCCGGTGAGATTATTACGGTCCTAGCTACGGCATACGTGAACCATGCGTTCTCGATTTCGGACGAGGACATCATGACCGGGACTTCGTACACCATCAATAACCGACCTCCGGTGAAGGAGATCTCTCTCGATGTCGCTCTCCTCGTGTTCGTAATCCTTCTTCATGGTGTACAACGGAGTAGGCGGTGATCGAGGCCACGGTGTGGATTCTTTTGCTAATTTTAACCTTTGAGGGATTGTCGATCATGCTTGAGTTCCTCTGATTATGTCTAAGTTTACTGAAAACCTATTCCATGATTTGGAGGGAAGATGCTCGAGTTAAGCTAGATTCATGGGTATTAGCTCGGGATTTGATTGATTTAGTTGCTCCTGCTTTTGGTAAATTTGGCAACATGTGAAGGTACTTCAGGAATTTTCCTAAGACATGAGGGGATCTAGGCAATATCTTGTGGACTCTGTTTCTGTCTGAGATTGTCTTTCTGTTTGTGATCATCTGGATTTCCTTTATATGGTCGTAGATGGGAACTTTATGCTTCATTTCTTCTCAGAATGGTCAAAAGGGTAGGATTTTTTTCTGCAAAGTGAAGAAATTTCTTCAACCAATCTCATATTTTGATTGAATTTTCCACCAATAAGTGTTTGAAAATAACCTTGGCTTGAAATACCTCTTCAAGTTACTTTGAATGAGTTACTCTGATCTTGTCTTCTACTAGAAACTCGGATGGATAGATCATTGATGCACTTTACACCTCTCCAACCGAATTATACTGTAACGAACTGAACTCTGTGTCAACATTATTCGGCATAGCAAAGATGATCATTTCAATTGTAAGAATCACTTCTTTCTCATTGTTCTGATCAACTGAACATTCAAAGAATATATTGGGGGTTCTAACATGCAGAACAAGACTACTTTCTTTTTAGGTCATATGACCTTTGGTGATAGATAGCTCATCGTTTGATTGATGTTGAATTCATGGATTTTCTTTGTGGTATTGGGATGTATTCTGTTTATCCCGGGGTTTACTATACACGGATTGCTTATTACGCTTACAAAGGATACAAAAAGTTTCTCCTTTTCAAACATACCTCCTGTTTAGAGCCCTTGGAAGTTGGAAGATATGCCCCCAATCTCCTTCTCAATTTATAGTTTAGTTCTTTCTCACTGGAGTTCATACCTTGATTGAATACTGCATTTTTCTGTAGATTAGATGATTGGATTCCACGTTTGAGATATATGCTTTTTCTTGTAATTCTCGTTCCATATTAATTTTTTTTGGGATAATTAGTCTTGGAGATATATATATATATATATGCGAATTGCAAAGAGTAACCTTGAAAATGCTTTGTGGACTCTATTGGTAAATTCCTTTAATTTTCAATGGATAACCCCACCACCACATGGGTTTTGTCTATTTTCCAATTGATCCAAAGTTTAATCGGTGAAACAAGATATTTTAACATTTTTTCTATTTCGAATTCGAATCTTTTAAGTAAGGGGAAAGTTATTCATATGGACTGTCTCAATTTTGATCCAAGATATTCACTTATATATATATATAAAAAAAGTTGGTGCAAATTGGCATGTGGGTTGGGTTTGTGTACATATATACGTGATCGAAATTGGCAGGTGGGTGTGTGTATAGGGATTGATGGCGTTGACACTGTTTAGTGTCCCATGGCACACTTTAGCATGGTTCAGCGGAGCCATCCCGTGACACTCCTTCACTATCTGGTAGGTGTTTCATAGGAGACTTCCGACGACTGATCATCTTGCTTGTTGGGAATTCAGGTGCCGAATAGATGTATTATTTGCTGCAAGGAAGCTGAATCTCATAATCACTTGTTCTTCTGGTGTGACTATGGTGTGATTATAGTGCTGCAATTTGGTCATTCTTTGCAGGGAAAATTGGCTGGAATCCTCGCTGAATGTTTACGAGTGCGTGCCGTGGATAAGTCAGATAGTTGCACCGACTCCAAAACCGGGGAAAATCATCAGGAAGCACCTGATCCAGATTGTTGTTTACGAGATCTGGAGAGAACGAAATATCCACATCTATTGGGGTAAATCAAATTCAGCCCAACAGATGCGTTTAAAGATCGATCGAGCCATGAAAATATCTTCATCTCCTTACAGAAAACTGACATCCAAAGAAAGATATGTTTGAATCCATCCAACTTTGGTATCGTATTAGTTAGCAATTTTATTTCCAGAGATCCGGACAATTGTAACGCCGGTCGAGCTTCCGTCGCCGGAATCCATGTCGCCGCCCAAACGACTCCTCATGAGCGTTCTCGATCGATTTCAGACCTGCAAGTTTCATCTTCTCAAATGTAGTTTGCAAATGAGAGAGCGAGACTGCTAGTACCCTGAATTCAAAAGATTCGCAGTGAAAATAGAAAAGCGTGACATTCTATTGTTAGAGAGCATAACTCCGTGCCGTTTATCAAAATTTTAAACGACATGATTTTAAAACTCTGGAAGCTTCTAAGCCCTTTCTTCTCCATTAACGCTTTGTACACCTCCATCGAAGCTGCAGAGATTGCTAGGGTTTATTCTTCAGGGTTTTCCATATTCGCATCGAGAATCCCTACAAGGAACGATGGTTTGGTTCCAGTGAAGAAGCCAAAGCTGCCGAATCACTTCAGGATCTACAGTGCCACCAGGGTTCGCCAATAATTCCAGAAAAATTCTCTTCTTGCTGTACAGTTTCCATGGAAACTGGTGCGTTTTCATATTTCATCCGTTAATTTTTCTGTTTAGCTTCAATGGGTCAACAGTTGTCTTGCATAGACGACTGTGGTGAAATTTTCGGGCAACATAGCGTTCAAGGACACAACCAATGCATCTCCGAGGCTGTATCTATGGTTTCTCATATTGATATGCTGTACAAAGTTTGGTATTAATCTGAAATGGATGTAGCTTAGTATCAGCTGTGTTTGATCGTAGGAAGAACGTTTCTGTGAGTGTGCATCTTTGGAAATGAAGAGGCTGATGTTATGGGATTTGTTTTGTGAAGGAGAAATATGGCCCGAAAGGGCAGTCGAAGCCATCGAATGGCGCACCGGCAAAATCGAAACAACAGCCTGATTTCGATACTAATGTCTGCTTACCTGACCGTCCTCCATGGTTTTGTAGGCATTGCCATCTTTCACTTCCTCTGCTATTTCCTTCTTTTAGTAAGTTTCAACTGTTTAGGATAAAACGTGGCTTACTCTTCAGGTGTAAAAATTGAAGATTATGGTTATAGCTGGAACTGTTATTGCATTTGCCATTATTGCTACTGAAATGGGTGTTGGTATGTGCTAATAAAAGTTAATACTTTTGTGAACTGAGTTGTTGTTTTTTCACAAAGTCCCTTGTTGAAGCTTGTTGCCTTATGGTGAGGATTTGATATGAGAAACTTTGAATTTATACATATATATATATATATATGGTTTTGTGATGTTGTAGCTTATGTGACAACCTCAATCAGAACAGACTTCCGGAGGAGATAAGAAAGATCCAACTGGAAATGCTTTCAATGGTGAATCAGGACGAAAGAAAGAAGATTTACTTGCCACGATGAACGGTGAGAGAAGAAAGCTTCAGATTTTAGATGAAACGGACAATGGAGAAGTGATTCAGGCCAGGGAAGAAGAAGAAGAACAAGAGCAAGAGTGAAAGAATGAATCAAAGCAAGCCAAACAGGAAGATGATGAAAAGAAAATCAAGTGGAAGAAGTTAATCACTTCAACCCTTAAACTTGTACGTATAATTCATTCCCCTAGCTCCATTTGCTTTAGTTTTTCTCCGAGCTCATGATATTGTTGTGATACTTCGTTACGTAATTATCATATGTGTTCAGTTCATTTCCCACCATTTTGAACTGTCAGATCTCTGGACAACCTTTTGAATGAGTAGTTTTGATTCTTTTGATCCATTATCATTTCTGTTCGTGAACTATATTGTATTTTCTCAAAAGGGTATTTGTCTATGGGAGCAATCTAGTTTTACAGTTTGAGTCCTGAGTTCGTGCTGATGCGATGGTAAATTTGGTTAATAATTACATAATTGGATCGAACCTGTCATCGAACCGAATTTGATATAAAATATAAATGGTTATGATTTGTGTAAATTTAAAAGAAAAAAGGGATTTGAATCCAGCCGAATAGGTAATCAATGAAAAAATGATTTTTTAAAATAATGATTTTTATCAATAAAAATTGAAACCAGTTGAATCCGAACCAAAATAGATCCAAATTGGATTGTATTAATTTTAATACAAAACCGAATAAATCGGAATAAAAAAAATCGAATTCGAATACAACCGAATTAATTGTAATTCAAAATCTAGAATGGCATGGCCATCCAATTACTCAAAATCTAGGCAACCATGACAAGTGACACCAACCAACTAACACGAACAATCGGGTAATTTCGCGTTTGCGATCTGCAGACCGGCCACGGTACAATAGCGTGTTGAACGTGACTCAAGGGCGGTACAATCAATACATTTTCCATGCCGATTTGAAACGCAAACGCCGTTTTTGAAACGTGAATTTTATATGGACCGCGGTTTTCTATTTCTACTACCTGATTGGCCATACAAGATCAAATAAACCCATTTGATAAAAAAAAGTTGGGTCGGTTTACTTAAACCGGTAAACCGGCCTCGGAAGAGAAAAGACGGAGAAATTACGGAAATGGTAAATGATGGTCAACGTCTTGTCCATGTGCTCATTTCCTTTGACTGGTTATTTATTGTATCATCGCTCCTTTTTTGTTCTTTCCTTGTAATTATTGGTATTGACTATTCACTCACTCGTTCTTGTAGCTGTATGTATTCGTGTATACAAGACATGGACCAATGTCTTTGAACTGATGGAAGCCATTGTTGACCAACCACCACCCGCTGTTCCTTCAGACAAATTCTCTCCGGAGCTCTGTTCATTCATCTCTTCATGGTAACGTTACCACATGATACCAACCCCTGTGCTCTCTAGATTCTGGGATTTCGGTATTTTTTTCTGACTTAGAGATTCTGTTCTTCCAGTTTACAGAAAGACCCGAGCGACAGAAGCTCGGCCAAGGAACTAATGGTTTGCCTTTGACATCTCTTTTACACATTCAACAAGGTGATGTTCTGTTCTACATGTATAATCATATGGCGGATTTCATAATTTTGCAGGAACATCCTTTTGTGAACAAATACAACGACAACAGCACGGAAGTGAACCTGGCGTCGTACTTCACGGAGGTAGGGTCGCCGCTCGCGACGCTTGAGAATTTGACCGGTACGTTCTCAGTATAGTAACTTCCCAGAGTCCATGATTCCTGATAATAACAATAACAATATTACTCTTTAGCCTAAAAGCTTGTTTTTTTTTTAAAAAAATAAATTATTTGTGCTGTGTTTGTCTGTGTAACCTTGAGATGATTAGAGGAAAGAGAAGAAGAAGAAGAAGAAGAAGAGACGATGAAGAAGGGAGGGTTTAGCAGCAGCCTCAAGCTCTCGATCCCGGTTTCCGGCGAACAATCCATCAACAAATTCCTGTCTCTTCTCTCTCTCTCTTCTCTCTCTCTCTCTCTCTCTCTCTCTCTCTCTCTGTATCGATCGATCGGGGTGTGTGTTTGTGTGTGAGATGGTGACGGTTTTTTTTTGCAATGTCTCTGGTTTGGTTTGTGAAATTAGGGTTTATGTTCGCTGGTATTTGTTGTTCATAGGACGCAGAGCGGTACATTTAAAGATGGCGATCTGCGTGTTAACAAAGACGGAGTTCGGATCGTCTCTCAATCGGAACAGGAAGCTGTAGGTTTTGCTTTCTCTTTCGTTTGATCTTTTGTTCTGAATTCAGCAAGATTAGAAATCTGTGCTTGGTTGAAAAGGCTAATTTTAGGTTAAACGGAAACTTTGATGCGGTTCTGGATTGGATGAGAACTAGAATAACTGAGATCATAGTGTAGTCGTAGGAAATTCGGGAATTGAATTGCTCTGCTGGCACTGCTGCAAGCATTCTGTGATTATCGTATGTAATTCGTGCGTAATTGCTGTGATTCAGCGGCCTCCTATTAAGCCAACGGATAACCAGTTGAGCTTATTGGATTTGGAAACGGTCAAAGTCATCGGAAAGGGAAGCAGTGGTGTTGTGCAGTTGGTGCAGCACAAATGGACTGGCCAGTTTTTCGCCTTGAAGGTACTGTTTTAAAGATCTATAAAATATGTATTACGATCTGATTGTGCGAGGTAGTTCGCTTAGGAACTTCAAATGTCTCTGGTATGATATCAGGATAGACTCATCGGCTTTTTTTTTATGGAATATTACCTGACAAGCATGCTTTTGTTGATCTTAGACTGTTAGTTTACCTACAGAACTTGATACATTTAAGGTTGAGATTCCTTAAAAGATACATGGATCTTGAAATTCTGAAATCTGGGTTCGTTGCCTATATTCATCTAGGTTTGTTGTAGTGCGTACGAGTTCCGGGTTCGATCATTCTATTTTTCTGTTTGATTTTGAATATTTGGGTTTACTGAGGTTCATGTGTGTTCTCTACCCTCAGGGTTGTAAACCTTCTCTCTTTTATTCCCATTTTTATTTCTGTCCACTTGGTGTTTCATGTGGCAGCTTGTGACTATTTGTTATCTTTTTTGCATGAGTCTGATTAGGTTATTCAACTGAATATTGATGAGGCAATACGCAAGGCAATTGCACAGGAGCTAAAAATTAATCAATCAGCTCAATGTCCATATCTCGTGACCTCGTATGAATCGTTTTACAATAATGGAGCCATTTCGATCATATTGGAGTACATGGATGGTGGATCTCTGGCAGACTTTCTCAAAACGGTCAAAACAATTCCTGAGAGCTATCTTTCTGCAATCTGTAAGCAAGTAAGAAGCAGAAGAATCAGATCCAGCATGGAGCCGGAGATTTTTAACAAACATTGTGTATCTGATCTCCCTGTTTTTTGCAGGTGCTTCAGGGTTTGTTGTATCTTCATCATGAGAGGCACATTATTCATCGCGACTTGAAACCTTCCAACCTGTTGATAAATCACAGAGGAGAAGTCAAGATTACTGATTTCGGCGTGAGTACAGTTATGACAAACACAGCAGGGCTGGCAAACACATTCGTGGGGACTTACAACTATATGTCTGTGAGTATCTTTATTTTTTAATGATAATACACAACAGAAATCTGCTACCCCGTCACTACAATCCATTTTATGCTTCCGGTGTGGAAATACGCCATTCTTTCCGTTTTTAGAATTTGCATGGAAACATGTATAGAGGAGGAGGCGGAATAAGGTTTCCAGGATTTGCATAAGGTGGCATCAATCAAACTCATTCAGAACCATGATTTGGCTAATCATGACATGCATGCATCTGTTGTTTTTTTTGGGCAGCCAGAGAGAATAGTTGGAAGCAAATACGGAAATAAAAGCGATATATGGAGCATGGGATTAGTGGTGCTTGAATGCGCAACGGGGAAGTTCCCATATTCACCACCGGGACAACAGGAGACATGGACCAATGTCTTTGAACTGATGGAAGCCATTGTTGACCAACCACCACCCGCTGTTCCTTCAGACAAATTCTCTCCGGAGCTCTGTTCATTCATCTCTTCATGGTAACGTTACCACATGATACCAACCCCTGTGCTCTCTAGATTCTGGGATTTCGGTATTTTTTTCTGACTTAGAGATTCTGTTCTTCCAGTTTACAGAAAGACCCGAGCGACAGAAGCTCGGCCAAGGAACTAATGGTTTGCCTTTGACATCTCTTTTACACATTCAACAAGGTGATGTTCTGTTCTACATGTATAATCATATGGCGGATTTCATAATTTTGCAGGAACATCCTTTTGTGAACAAATACAACGACAACAGCACGGAAGTGAACCTGGCGTCGTACTTCACGGAGGTAGGGTCGCCGCTCGCGACGCTTGAGAATTTGACCGGTACGTTCTCAGTATAGTAACTTCCCAGAGTCCATGATTCCTGATAATAACAATAACAATATTACTCTTTAGCCTAAAAGCTTGTTTTTTTTTTAAAAAAATAAATTATTTGTGCTGTGTTTGTCTGTGTAACCTTGAGATGATTAGAGGTGCTGGGAACATCAGAGTGAGTGTGTTTCGGAAGGTAAATATTATCGTAACGCTCGGTTTGCATTGTGGGATCATTGGATTGGAACCCACTTATTGTGATGCTACTTTTCAATTTCTTATTTTCTCGGATAAAATTATCTTTTATCTTTTAAATTTTCGATTACTTTTTTTTTTATTCTACTCATTTATCTCTTATTTTTATTTTATATTTTATTAATATTTATGTCTATTATTTAAAATTTTATTATTTTTCATAATTGTTTGTTGTTAATAATTTTAACGCCATATTTGTTCTCTTTAACTATTTAGCTAAATTTTATTTAAAATTTATCTTTAATATTATTTAATTTTAATTAAAATTTTGATTAGAAAATTTTAACTTAGAAATCCATACAATAACGCAACCTAAAAAAATTGAAAAGTAATTTTAATTTTTTTTACTTTATTACGTTACGTTTAAATATGTCAATTTTCAAACAAATTTAGTTTGTTTATATCATTTTTTAAAGGAAAAATTTTATGTAAGTATATCTAGGGGTGGCCATTTCGGGTTTTGGTTCGGTTTTCGGTTCGGTTATTACGGGTTTGGTTATTTCGGGTTTTGGTTTGGGTTTTGGTTCGGTTTCGATTCGGTTCGGTTCAGTTTTTGCATGATAAAATTATAACCAAACGGTGAAATTTTTCGAATTATTCGGTTCGGTTATGATATATTTTTTTTTAAAAAAAGAATATTAATCCTATACAAACTTCAAAATATATATCCAAATAAATCCATAAAATAATTAATCCTCCAATAAAGTTACAAAAAAATCTACAAAACCTTCAATAATTAGATTAAAAGTTAAAAATATTAAATTTTATGGTTTATCAGGTGAAACACATAAAATACAAATGAACTACAAAAAAATAACACTAATAATAATAAGGTAAAAATTAAAATATTACAAAAATCCTAATAATTGTTCGGTTAACCGCGGTTATTCGGTTATTACCGAACCGAACTCGAACGGTTATTCAACTTCCTCAACCGTTCGGTTATTAAGCAAATAATCGAATCGAACCGAACCATTTTTATTCGGTTCGGTTCGGTTCGGTTATTCGGTTAATAACCGAAATAGCCACCCCTAAGTATATCTAACTTTACAAAATATTTTAAATTGATATATCAAATATTAAAATGTTCCAAATAGATATTCTAAATCGATAGTAATTTATAAGTCGATTTGATTTTTTATGTTTGAATTAATATTTAATTTATATATTATCGTCAAAATTGAGATTATAAATTGTTATCGATTTCACCAGTTATATTTTTATGTTGAATTTTTTTAACATTTGAGTTATCAATTAGATCAAATTAAAATTTTAGATATTTATTTAGCATATTTTATAAAATTGAATATTTATTTATTTGAGATTTTTTCATTTTTAAACTGTTAGACTAACTTTAAATATTTTCCACTAACACATTTTAAATGAATAATATATATTAGAAATTAAAACAAATCTTGGCACCTGTTAAAGTGATATCGTTATAATCTAGAGGTCATAAGTTCATATAATAGTAATCTCTTGCAAAATATTTTTGCCAAGTAAGTGTTGTATACACTACACTACACTCGTGGTGGAATTCTTCTCCCAACTCCTCTATAAAGATGCTTTGTAAGGAGCTTCCTTTATAAAAATACAAATTAAACTCTTTGCAATCTATATTATAAGTATAGAATACAATCTAATCTATATTTTAAAATTCTGTGTTATATTATTTAAATTTTTATTATTTTATCATCTAATGTTTTACTTTATACAATAATATTAATTTAATAATAATATATTTTTTGTTATTTGGTTGAAATGGTTTTATAACATTATTAAGAAATATATATATTTATATATATATAATTGGAAATAAGTTTTCTGTTCCATCAAATGATATTTTTAAAAATTTTATAAATTATATATTTTATAATTTTGTTTCTGAAAAAAATATTTAATTAAATGTCTTTTTTATTATTTAAAAAAATATACATATTCAGAACATGTATCTCTAATATTTTTATCGATTAATTTTTTACCTAATTGAATTTTTTGATAATAATTACTATTAGTAATTTTCATTAAAAAAAATAACCGGAATAATATAAAGTTTTAATTTATTATTTAAACAAAAAAGAGGGAGAATTACCACCCGTGATTGTCAACAAAATCAAACTGGGCTTTAGTGTTTAGTCAAACAAAACAGAATAGGCTTTGGGTCAAAAACATAAATTAAAAGTTTGACTTTATTTTAGCATATAAAAAGCCCACGCGCAGTTTCGTTTCAAAAAGCCCAAAGTGATGGAAAAGTCCAGATTTCCAAAGGTTATAGCCCAGCGATTTTGAGCGCGTGAGCTTTACTCTCTTTTTACGCGACTGGTGGTCGTTCAATACAAATGGGCTTTCCATTATTTTGGGCTGCGCGTGGGCTTTTTATATGCTTCTAGCCATTTATATTTTCTAAATGGTACCCAAAACAAAAATATATATATATATATACACGTTATTTCACAGATTCACAATAATCATAAATTTATTTCCTTCGTTTTTTATTTATTTTGAATTTGATCTACATTTTTAATTTATTATTATCTCAATATTCAATTTCAATGTACATCCGAACTAATTTAAATTTTATGTACATCCACTTTCTTTTTATGTAAGTCCGAATTAATTTTATCCATTTAAATTAATTTTTTCTATTTATTATTTGATTCAGATTCGACCTAAATCATTTGTAAAAAACAAATAGAATATTTTTAATTCTTTTTCTATTTTGGTCATTATATACGACTAATATCGTCATTATGTTTTTTTGGTAAATATCGTCATTATGTTGAGTAACTTATTATTGGGATCATTTTTTTTTTTTTTTTGCGAATGATAAGCATGAAAAAAGATGACACCAATATACTTGTCAAAGTTTCATTCTATTAGAATTATTATAATGTAACTATGGTTAAATGGTAGTTTGGTTAGGGTTTATTTTTTTTTCCGTTATATTTAAGCAAGTATGTCTTTAATCAATGATGAAGGCAAAAAAAAAAAAATAGAAAATTCTCTCTTGTTTTGAAATATCAAAATATTCTTATCACTTTGGTGACCAAATTTTAGTTAACATTTTATAGTAACTTAGATTCGAATTCTAATGCCAATTGGTAAAAGTTTTACCACATTCAAGGTTTATACTAATTATATTACAAAGCATTACAAGTTCGAAGCAGATATTAAAACCCAATACTCCGTTCGAGACAAATCGGTCAACAAATACTGTGAAAAGAGTTGATGCCCGACCAAGATGGAAATTCTTGAACCCGACCTGTTGGTTAGCTGTGATTTTAGATATTGGCGGACCCTAAACCACTCTCTCGAATTTTAGGGTTCGAAATCTATCATCGTACTCGTATCGCCCGAGTTCCCGAATTTTGTAAAAAGACCAACCCATTTCGTATCTCCATCTGATTGGGGTGCTGAGGAAGGGAATATACTAGATTAGCTTACCCCAACATTTTATGTAGAGAGATGGATTCAGACCCGCAGGCTGCAACCTCAGACCCCACGGTAAATGGTTTTACTGTTGAGCCAAGTCGGCCATTCGAATTCCTGAATTTTGTATATCCGCAAAATGTTCCAAATATTTCGGATATCCATAGATTATTCAACCAATGAAAATATGAAACAAGGAGCACGAAGAGGCAAAGGGAGAGAAGAAAGAGGCGATATACGACAACACGAGAAATGAGACAGAGAGACGTGTTCGAGGCAAGCCAAGGTGGCCAAAAGGAGTAAAAAGACGGATCCAATATCAGTTAATACAAAAAGTGTAGGAGTATCTCAACCAAGATACCTCGGGTTTGGTCTGTGTAAGGGTCGGATACTCGACTCTCGAGTACCCACAAGGTGAGGCCTAGATACCCAGTCAAGGAAGTAGGGGTTGAGAGGGCCAACTAAGGGTCAAGGCACAAGAAGATGAGAGCCGAGACGAGAGGGTAAGAGTCGAGACCAGAGGTTAGGCAAGGGAAGAGGATATGAGTCGAAGTTCGCCTCGAGCCTCTCTCCCCATCTATCAGCTCGGCCTTATCATCTCTCTCCCCTGTTACCCTCACCCGTAGATACGGATAATCGGCCGAGAAAACCAATACTAAAATCTGCGCCTCAAATTTTAACCGGCGCAAGATCTCGAATTCCAAGGATAGATACCCATGGGACCTCCGGGTTTGGTACCCGCCCAGCCCGTGGACCACCTGTATATTGTTAACAGGGAAAATGGATACCAAAAACTTCTAGCAATTATGCATCACGGTAATTCATGTCCAAGATATAACCACATCTATATTTAAAAACAATGCATCAAAAGGGGTATTAAAAACGAAAGCGTGCAGTGAGGGAATTGGAGGAAGAATCTGCGATTTTTTATTAGGAAAATAGAACGTATGTACAATGGAAAGACAATGGTCATGAAAGCTACAAAGCTCGAAGAAGAAGAAGACCCACCATTTCATATATATATATATATGCCATCCTTTCTTTTTCTTTGCCGCAAAAGCTCTTTACAGCCGGAAGTTTACCTACCGACCTAACTTACCAACTGAGCCAAATCCAACACCCATCAAGGGAAACCCGAAAATAAAAACGGAAAAAAAAAGTTCACCCTAGAATCGAATTATATAAGAAAGAACCCTAAGGTGAAGAAGATGAAAAGAATCTATATGACCTAATTTGCCGGAGCCAACAGCCAAATAACCATTCCTGGTGACTGGTTATTCCTTGAGAGATGCAAAACTTTTTTTTTTCCTTTTCCTCACGTTTCTTCGTCAATAGTATAACAAACGTGACTATACAGATATAAGATGGAGAGAAAGAAAGAGTAGTAACCTCAAACCATCATGTTCAAGTCTGAAAGGTCATCCATTGGTATTTCAAGCCCCATCATATCATGATCTTGCAATGCATCATCGTCGATGTTCAACCACGAGCTTAGGTCCCCTGCTTGCGCATCGAAATCGTCTGGACCTCCTAAGTTGTCCGGTATTTGCAGCTGTGACAGGTCAAGAGGCTCGGACTCATCCAATGCCTCCAGGTTATACTCACTGTTACCTTCACCAGATCTGGATGATAATGATGATGCTTTGGGTTGCTCCGATATCTGACTTGTTTTCTGTTTCGGTTTCGGTTTCAATTTCCTCTCGCCCTTGGCACCGGACAATGATGGCCGACCAATCTTATTAGTTCCACCTCGAGAAGAGGACTGTCCTTTCCCGTCTCTGTCCCTCTCACTTCTCTTTCCTTTCGCACTACCACTTGTGAGAGATGCCCCTATACCCACATCATCGAGTAACAGTTCTCTCTTTTTGACCCTGTTTGACCATGTCATGTCGTCTTTACCCGTGGTTTGTTCTAGTAAAGCATTTGCGGACACCAACATATCAGAAGAAATCACATAATTCTCCCCGTTTTGCCCAATTCGCAACGCTGAAGAACTTGGCTGTAAAGCCATGGAAGCTGCAAGGGTCAAGGGAAACATTAAGAAAATTAACAGTGTGATTGTGAGATTTAAATCAAAGTTTACTTTTTTTACAGGGTTTAGAGATGATACTTGAAGCTGACGGCATGTATTCCTTATCAGCTGCAGTATCGGAGGTTTGAGCCAACCCGGCAATGAACATATCCCTAAAAGCAGGCTCATTGAAGCAGCTCTTGCCGGACTCTTCGAATTGATGGCATCTATCCAGTGTCCTTTTAACGAAGGCCAATGCAGCTTGCTTGGATATTTTGTTACTGGAACTCTTTCCGCTGCTGGTGTGATGACGCCTACTTGCCTGTAAAGTAAAAGCCACTCAAATTAATCAATGCATAAACTCAGAAGAGAGCAGAAGTGCAAAACAGTAGCAAGGACAAGGAAAGAAAACTGAAAATGAACTCTTTGCAGGCCAAATTTAGTTTACCTTTTTCTTTTCGTACGCCATTTCGACGAGTTTTTTGTAACCAAGCCGATGAAACTCCCTATGTATAGGAACAAGATATTACATTGAAACCATGGGAGAATAGTACATATTTGGCTAGGCATGCGGTAAAAGCAGAGGGACACAAACTCATACTTCTCTTGACATTCTTTCATTTCGAGGGCAGGCTTTAGTAGCCTATTCATCATCTCTTTCTTCTTCAAACCCTGATAATTTAACAGAAAACATTACAAAATTAACTATCTTGATTCTCGAGAAGTGCAACAAAACCACAAAGTATTTTTTTTATCCTTTCATGGTGGTTATATATAAAATAAACAGAATCTTCTAAAGTACATAAGTCAAAAGGAAAAAGGTAACAAATGCACACATGGGCGGTGATGCTACATTTGGTTAAGAACATAATTCAATGAGAAAATATACCTCCTTGCAGATTGCATCCTCTAGTTTCTTTATGTCGTCAACAATTCCTTCATCATCCACATTTGAAATGCTAGGCTGCAACAAACTCATCACAAAAAAACATCAAGCCACAAAGAACCTTGGCATAAGAACCAAATTTCATAAAGTAAAGTGAAGCAATTTTATCCACCAACAAATGGAAAAAGAAAACGAAAAAGAAAAATCACCAACACTGTTCTAAGTAGTCAACCTCTGACTGAACATACCATGGGTTCCGGAGAAATTCCGATAGACTGAAGCTCCAGATAAATCTTCTCGTCTATCCCCAGATTAACATACTGGATGTCTGTGAAATTGATGGATGAATAGTCAGAAAATCTGCCGTTGGGATGGTGAACTGAGTTGTTGATCCCCCTGTGCAGAAGTACAGACACGTCATTTTCTGACTCTTCATGTTCCAGTCCTTCATTGGTCCTATATCCATTGTACTCCAAATGATTCAAACCACTGAATTCAGACTCAACATCAAGATCATTCACGCTTCCAAATCCATCAAGTTCTGAATCTTCAGTTATGCTACTAGTGTCCTCAGAAATTAAAGCTGATAGCAGTCTCTGATAGAGAGGAGCAGCTTTAGAGTCCATTCTGCTTGTCAGTTCCTGGGGATACACTTCACAACTATCAAAGACTGAAGATGTCCTCAGCATCGGTCTGACAGAGGAAAGTTCTCCCTGAAAGAGTGATAATATTAGAACAATTCCTGATGGATTTCAACTTCTAAAACCCAAATATGTGGCTATTGTTTTGCAATTATATAACATTACAAATTTTAACAGACGCTTGACACCTGATTATGGTTTTTGTGTTCTCTCAGAAAATACTCGCAACCAATTAAGCGAATATCTGATGACTGACATATGGAGATTCCTAGCTAATCTTATTCAAACTAGAAACCTGAATTCCAATCTTAATATTACTCTATTTCTAAGTTCAAGATAAGTCTAACTGCAACTCTAACTATAGGCATCCATACCCATACAATAACATAAATATTCACAAATTTACAGAGATGGGGAGGGGCCAAAATATCGATAAATGTCCCAATTAAATCAATTAAATGTATAATAGATACTTTCTAATTATATGGGAGAGGGGTAGGAAAACTGAACCCAAGAGTTCCTTGCAGAAAATTTCCTAAACCACTGGATTACCATGTCCAAGTGCTCGGATGTGGATACAAATTCACCAATGGAACTAATATGAAAATTATATAAGCAAGCAGTCAGGATTTACATCAATCAATTGGAACAAATGTGTGAAGATAATCCTAATTGTAATCTCTGTGTGTACGAATTGGAATAAAATGCATCACCTGTTGTTTCAAGAAATTGATGTGTGCATCAGATATAAAGCAAAAGTAACGCTCCATTTGCTTCCAGAAAGAATTGGGCAAGTTCCTAGCTGCATCATGGATTAAATAAATTGATACATAGATAAAGTTTGGCAAATAAGCACAGGAAAGGGGAATTGAGAACAATGATTTACCAGAATTTATAGCAGCATTGACAACAGCTAGTAGCTCCTCATGTCCATCATCTGAACCAACTAAGAAATTCAACCAATATGTAAATAAAGGCAAAGTATGAATTTTGCCAAACAAAAATAATCCTGATTAAACTGAACTAAGTTTACCAAGAAAATCTAGTGTTGCATTTGATGCTGTATGCTTCTGACGTTTGTAAGCCTTACGGTCAGAGAGTTTCCTAGTAGGTGGACGGCCTGCCTTGCTGCTCAAAATATACGAAGATAACCATGAGACTAGACCCATGAACATAAAAATTGTTGATATCAAACCAAAAAAGAGAGAAACAAGAAGTACTTGTATAGAATATGATTCTGTACCTTTCACTCTTATCAAGACTTTGTCTTGCACTGCGAAGTTGTTTTGCAGTTCCAACGTTGCCAAGTTTCTCCATCCCCATTGGCGTGAGAGACCTTGTAGAAGCAAAGCCACGGCCTGTTCTTCCTTGCCTCCTAACACCATCCCCGAGCTCTTCACCGGCCACAACCTTGTTATTTTTTCTTGATTGTAAAATAGGAATGGACATTTTTGGAACATTGTGCGCAGCTTTGTCATCTACCTCATCAGATTGTTTACCCTTGTCTCTAGACTTGATTTCAGGGGGGCCAGATTCTTCGCTTTCTGATAAAGCTGCTGGTGAGAAGCTGTTTTCACCTTTCAGTTTCATTTGCATAGGAGAAGCTGCAGGTGAACGTTTATGGAATCCAAACCCAGTTTCACTACAGCCAATATCTGATATATTATCTGAGGAGGGAACTTCGTCATTGCTCGAAACAATGGGGACTAAATTCGTTCTTCTTGCTATGCGGGATATCTTTTGTGGTCTTTGACTAGCCCACTGAGTGACAGGTGGTGATGAAGACCGATTAGATGACATCCGCTTGCGATTGGTGACCCCAGATAATGTGGGTGGCTTGTTTGTACAACTGGAAATATCCCAATCACTTGGAGGAGTGTTATGGACCACAGGCGAAAGTTTTGGCAGAAGCCCCGATCCCGATCTTGGCCCGCGAATTGAAGCATTTGCTCTAGCGTTTGAAGTTGGACTTGAAGAATTGAATTCTTCGTGAATATTTGACCTGCAAACCATCCGGCGGGGGGTGGAGCAACCAGAGATAAAAAGGGATCAGAAACAAGGTACACATTGTGTGTGAATGCTATTGACAGTAAAACTGAAAGAGCGTGCTTAAGATTATAGCACTTACTTGTTGACAGCTCTCAGATTCACCCTTTCCTTGTCAGAACCAATAGACCGTTCTCTCTTCTCATTGTACAAAGAACTGTGATCAGAATCAACCCTGGAAAGAGAAGACCGTCCGGCTAAGCCTGCCTGCTGAGCGAGGTTATCAGATCTTCCATATCCAGCAGCTCCATTAGCGGCTCCTTGCCTACATCAAACAAACAGACTAGGAGAATATAATCTATTGAATAACAATCAAAGGGGAGAGAGAATCGCCTTCACAGACAGGACAACAAAGGAGAGTGGAGAAGAAAATAATGGTCAATCAGACGAGGATAAAATAAATCCCAACATAGTCTGAGCTTCAAAAGCATAACCATCATCCATTTGACAAACAAGTAGATGGATTAAAGCAATCAGTGGCCCAAGGTCACTGAATTGGCTACGGAGCAAAAGATTGCAGAAATAAATTAAAAAAATCTGTTTGTTCTCATATGCATCTCCAAAATACAGATGAGAGGTGCAGAAGAATCATCTTTTGGAACAATAAAACACAGAAAAACAAAACATCCGGAAAAAGGTTAAAATACATGGATAAAGAATTCAAAGCCAAAGCATTGTAAGAAAAAAAAGTTCGCATGAGACAACAACCATTTATTTCTCAAACCTAAAGATTAACTTCATTTATATCACCGCTTGTCCAATTTAATGACAGATCTCTACGAAATGAAATAAAAGAAATTTTACGAAATATGCAAGCAGGGACATGACAGTAACAATAAGGATAAAAGCCATCATCCTCTGAAATTCAGTTTAACGTATTGAACCCAATAGTGAGTTTGCTTATCATCTGAATAGATGAGCCATACCTTAAGATATTTGAGTCACAATTCAATCTTGAACGTGAATCGCCAGCTACTTTCTGCTGTATCCCCTGCTTCGAGTCTCGGTAACCATCACCAGCTTTATTTGACACCAAGCTTGTAGAAACATCTGTTTTTATACCAGATCGCCTTTTCTTCATTTTCGACTTTTCCCAACCATCAATTCCAATTGATGAAGTTCGATCTTCACCCTGAACTGCATTATGATTTGCTACCCTCATTGCGTCTTTATCCCTATCTACATGAGCTGATTGCCTAACAATAGCATTACTTCGAACATCCATCTGAATCAACCAAAAAAAAGAACAAATCAATACTCTTGAGAAGCAAAAACAAACTGGCAAAACTTAAATAAATAGATGAAAATATTTACAACATAGAGCCAAACAATTTTCAAACAACCATTTTTTCGGATAGATGGAGGAACATTTTGGCACTTACATAAATCTACAATGATAAAATTGTTCAATATCAATGGTTAAGTACAATATCTAAAGTTCCAGGAAGTTTAAGAAACATTAATTTTGATAGCAACATTTAATTTGAACATTGAAGTCAAATTTCTATATCAGCATCAGAAAGTAAAATTTCTAGCTTTGGTGGAAGACCAGAAACCAAAGTTTTCACCAAAAACTAGTTCAGTAGATGTAGCAAATGATAAATCACAGAATAAAAGGTTTATACTTTATACTATTGAAGTATGAAGCGAGATATTTGCTCGAGCAGCTATAGAAGGAAAATACAAAAATGCAGGCCTTGCTAAACAAAACTCAGAAATTACCATGGAAGTGCGTGTGCGCTTGTTTGGTACACCACTTTTAGGTCGTTCATCTGACTTTTGTTGCTCAAGCTCAAACCCACCAGCCAGAGTCTGACCCTGAATTCCCATTTTACCTAAGCCTGACCCTAAAACCAAGCGATCACCGGACCGGTCGCAAGAAAAACCTTCTGGTCGAGACCTCTTCTTTGTAGGCACACTTGGGAAAAACTTGTTAAATACAGAAGAAGCTTCAGTGAAAATTTTTACACGTTCCCTGCAACCACAAAAAGTCAATTAGCAAGAACACAATTTCAACCATGACCAAATAACCTATGATAATTAAACTACCTGGCCTTCACATTGTTTTCACGCAGACCAGACTTTAGTCTTTTGATCTCTTCCGGTATAGGAGATGGAATCAACTTTCCTTTCAGTGGTCCACTGGGAGACTCATCTGCTATCCCAAGGGCAATATTCACATGCCGTTTAAAGTCACCTTGACGAATGGACTTGTGATCTGCAGCAACCACCTTTGGATCAAAACGCAAACATTGGAAGAAATTCGTTACATCAGTTTGTGTTATTGGCGAGGTGCTCCTCAACATGGTTGGATGAGAAGATGGGGCAGCGTGTTCAATGGTCTCACGAAAGCTGCTCGATCTTTCCATCTGAGCAGCTAAGTTGGATCTGTATAAAGGCCTATCTGGCCCAGTAGAAGAATAATCAAATTTCCCTGGTGCTGACATTTGCTCAGCTTGCGCAAGTCCACTGCTTTGTTATACACACTATATATACAGTGGAGCATGACAAGCTTGTAGAGCTGCAGCACATAAATGCTAGTTTCTCAGCTCTTAAAAAATGGACTGAAAATGCACCTGCAAATAAAAAATCGTATTAGAACCTTAGTCCCACAGTACCTTAACTCTTTGTCATGCAAAGGCATATAGCGTTACTTGCAAAACAAACAAATTAAAGATATTGAGGATAGAACCTAAACATGACAAGAAGGCATAACATCTAAGCTACACTGACAAACTATTGGCAGAAACAAAGAAAAAAAAACATAATCTCAAATCTTAACATATATACACAATCATGGGAATTCAGTTACACAAGTCCAGAGAAAATTGGATAGGAGTAAATTGGTTCCGGTATAGTTTAACCCCCTAATGTATTACTATCAATATAACCGCTTCACAAATATCAAAACCCACTCAAAACTTTAGCAGAATCTGCTGATATCGATCTGGGAAAAATAAGAGCGCAGAGAATTTTTGGTATAAATACTAAACAACTAATTTCCACCATTAGCAATAATGGAAGGTGGTGAGCAAGATCAAATATCCAAAAACAAAATAGAAACCAGTATGTTATTCCATCAACATCGAGTTACTCTAACCTTACTTCCTCAGTAATTCTCCTTCTTTTGATTACTGAGACCGAGGAAATGGGTGGAAAATTTCCTCAAATTTTCAGCTCCCTTAGTTCGTGCAGTACCGGGCAAAATTGGGAAGCCAATCACCTAATTAGTGAAGTGTCTCAACGCCATAATGAATTTGAATAAGAAACAAAATATAGAAAGAGATACAGCGAATTCCTTAAATGTCTTCATCATAGTTGATTTACATTGCCGGCTAATCATGAAACTAAATGCTCAACTTCGCACAAGATTTCCCAAGTTCAAGTACAAAATTTGAACTGATTTGCCACCCAAATTCAGAGATTTCATAAAAATCTAACTTCATTACTCCAAAGTCCCAAGAAATTAAACAAGAATCGAAGTTTCACTAACTAAAACAGCCCCCGGAAACTTCACCACAAAAACCCTAGGAGAGGAATGAATCAAACATAAAAATTCAATAAACAAACTCGACCACCTTCAGCAAGCAAGAAAAACACAAGAAAGACCACAGAAGGAAACCCTAGAACCTGGATCAACTTCTGAAGATGAAACCATGAAACGAAACCTTTTCTTACCTCGAATCAAAATCGCGAACAAAAATTCCACAGGATAAAAATATCCCCCGAAGATTAGGGACTCTGGAGATTGGATCGTTCAAATGATCTCGTGGAGAGCCCGAAATCGAAATCCAGCGACGTTCGTGCAATAGCCATGAGAGGACGGGATCGAAGCGAGCGAGCGTGCGTTCATTCCTTGCTGCTTTTGATCGACGATGGAACTAGCATCTCGGAAATGACGATTTTACCCATTTATTACCCGCTCATATAGTCCAAGGTCGCGGTAATATCAGGGGTAACCTCGTAATTTCAACCCGAGCCGGCTTGAAAGTTGATACAGCTCATGGCTTTGGAACAAGTTGTGACGAATGGCGATTTTACTGTTGCAAATATATATAGTCTGGATAACCAAATTAACTATAAATTTCAGTTAGGACGATCAAAAAATAATATTTAAAATAAATAATGGATCTCCTGACAATTCTTATATCCAATAGTTATTCTCCAATCAAATTTACAGAAAAATTTTATAATTTTTATAGTCTTGTTACATATGGATTCGTATACACAATAGTTTCCTAAGATCGAATCAGCATTTATATTATAAACTTCTTCTAACCATGTAAATTTCCAATAGATATAATTACTTATATGTATGTTTCTTTGTTTGTTTCAGATGTTAACTACATTATTAATGACGAGACTTTTAACTAACATGTACTTAAGGGATGTAATGTTTCACATTACAATGAAAAAGGTTTTTTTGTCTTGTCTTTAAGGGAAGACATTATTGCAAAGAAAGAATACAGAAGATGAAGCTCTCTGTCTTTGAGATATACAAGAACAAGTTCTTGGAGATGGCTACTAAGATTAACCAAAGGCCGGGAACTGCCGCAAGAGAAGGCTACCAGAAACTACAGTAAGCCAATCTGGGCAGCTGACACGCCGAAAAAGACGGAGGAAAAAAAAACACGAAAAAGCGGATTCGAGAACAGCGAAAACAGTGCTGAAAATCTTCTCATCTGGTTCTGACAGGACAATGATCAAGTTGTAAGGATCAGAAATCTGCTGAAACGGATTGTAAGTTTACCCGAGCGAGCGGGTTCCGTAAGAAAATGAAGGGAGTTCGACGGGCTTTCTGCTCCAAAGAAGACGATATCCGATCGAAACTGACTTGGAGTATATCATGTTTGTGATGAATTCGGTTCAGATTTGTGCGTAATCTACTGCAGAATCACCTGGGGAAAAGAAAAGCAGGGAATTAGTTTGATCTGTAAACTACCATTTCCCGGATTTTGGAAGATGTCTCTGAATTGTTTTGGGCAGATTAAACGGGAATTTTACATGGCTTTCGTGTTTAAGCTATATACTTACTTTGGGCTGACTCAGTTGATGAGCGTGGGGGAGAAATGCTTCTTGTATCTGCATTCGTTCAAGAGATTGTTGGAGAAATCCCCAAAAAATCAACAAAAACGAGACCAAAAATATACAATTCCGGTACCTAAAGAGAGACGAGGGCCACGTATGGCATCGAAGTTTTTGTACGTATAGCCAACGAAACTGAGATCTTGAGGGGTTAAAAGCATCTGACAAGAGAAACAATACAATACACAACCCGATAAGAACAGAACCAGAAACTCATACTGAAACAATCATAAACAGGATCAAGATTTCAATACCTTCCTTAGCGGTCCAGATCCTGTTCTCCCGGGTTTTGGAGAATCAACCTGGAGCAGAATCAATGGTAAGATATCAGATACACTTAAAAGGGCACAGATACAAGAAAGAGAGGAAGATTCCTCGATCGTCTCGGGGTTACCTCGTCAAATTTCATAAAGTTTTGGGTATCCAGTTTCCCATTAACTTCTGGCTTAAACGCTGCTTCCATCTCATAGAGTTTGTCCCAGTCAACGTCCTTGAACCAGGGATGAGCCTAACATCTTCTTCTTTGTCAAAAACAAACGATGTACAAACATGGGAAAAAACGAGGGAGGGTAAAAACCCGGGTATGCTATGTTTTTTTTACATTACCTTAATTTGCTCGGCTCCTTGAGAACCAAGCCTACTCTCAGCATCACAGATCAACCTGCAGATAAGATCTCTGGCCTCGGGTGTCAACCTCGCTTCCTCGGGAAATTTCAATTGATTTCTCCAGTTCACAATCTAACAGGCCAAGTCGAAGCAGTGTGATTGAGCAATGCATTAAATGGTTGAAACTTTTTCCAAGAAAATATGTCCCGAAATTAAAAACTAAGACATAAGAAACATATTGGCATCTCATTTAACAAAACAAAAAAAAGGACAGGAAAGAGTCACCATATGCAGAAGTGTTATACCTTCCTGCAAGTGGTCACTGGGTCGTCGGAGTAGAATGGGGGATAACCTATAAGCATCTCGTACATAATGGCGCCCAGCGACCACCTGCAACCACATGAATGTATGTATAATAGTCCAAGAACTGAAATTTGGATTTTAAAATAAATTTGATAACATGTATATACATATATATACACATATATATAACGTACCAGTCACACTCTACGCCATATCCCTTCTTCAACAACACTTCTGGCGCGATATAATCTGGGGTGCCAACTGTGGAGAATGCCTATTTCAAAACAAGAGAATAAGAAAGCCGGAGAAATCTAACACAAATCCGAGTTTGAATTATACAATGAAAATGCAAATTAAAGAACAACTATGGAATGATTTAAATTAGAGTTGCCTAATGATTTCGAGCTTTACCAGTTTTCTCCTGCTTATCTGCCAATGCTGAAGTTGTTCTAATGGGCTCTTCCAATTCCTTCCACGAAATCCGCTCAAGCTCCCGTCAATATCCATCGATTCATTCAAAGTATCTTCGTTTAGTGGTTCGTCTTCATTAATAGCCAACAAATGTCTACAATCAAGAGGCTTACAAAGACCAAAATCAGACAGCTTCATATGACCATTCTTGTCCAACAGAAGGTTGTCGGGTTTTATATCCCTGCAAAAGACATACTTTCAATACTGAATTTTCAGTGCTGTCTTATGGTAATGGGGGACCAGTTAAGAACTAGGACAAACCTGTGAACATAATTATGCTTATGTATAGATTCAATAGCCAAAACACTCTCAGCAATGTAAAATCGAGCAACGGTTTCGGTCAAGGTCTCTTCCCTCATAAGCAAAGTCATTACATCACCACCAGGCAAATATTCCATGATTAGATACAAAAATTCTGCATCTTGGAAAGAATAATAAAGCTTCACGATACAGTCACTGGCTACTTCTGCTAGCAAGTTCCTCTCGGCTCTTACATGTTCGACCTATCCAAAACAACCAAACGTTATATGCCCAGCTTATGCCCTCTGTCAAATTTCTCGAGACGAAATTCATTAGTGAAGCCCGAGAGAAGGTGAAAAATAAAATTCACTATAGAACTCACTTGCCCCCTGCTAAGCATTTCTGACTTCTTCAGCTTCTTCATTGCATAAATGTTGCCCGTCTTTTTCTCGCGACATAGCCTTACCTGCAAATATAGCATAAGACAACGTTTAGACAAGTCTTCAAGCAAAGATCGCAGAAGCTGAAATTCAGACATATACGGATATGCATTCAAATGACTAACCTCTCCAAAGGCTCCTCTGCCTATAATGGTTAGAAGATCAAAATCACTGACGCAAATTTTGTGCCTCTTAAGCCTTATATACTCTGTCTCCTTCCGCTCTAAATCCTTCAGCAGATTGTGTTGTTCTTCTTGTGACACATCCAAAGATGCTAACTTTTGTTCCAAAACCAACCGCCTTCAATGATGATTGCAAAACCAAAACGCCATTAAAGCACAACAACAATAAGGTTCAGGATGGGATCAAAGAAAAACATTCTTTGGACATTCTCTGTGTCGCGTTAAAAAATCAAAATTCAGAACACACCAGCTCCTAAAACAACACCATGCAGATTCTAACAAGGAAACCCTGTCACATGTTGCAAGAAGTAAAATTTTTGGGAACCCAGTTGGTGATACAGGAATATTGACGAACAGGTTGTGTGTAATTCCATGAATCGGACATTTTTTTTTCTTACCTTTGTCTGCGTTGTTGGATGTGTTTCATGTGAGCTTTGTAATGGCTCTCGATGAACTGCTTCGCCGCGGCGACCTTCTCCAATGTCAAGCTTGAGCCGACCACCGTCCCCTCCTCCTCCACTCCCTCCTCAGTCTCCGGCGCCGGAGACACCTTCGCCACCACCACCTCTTGATCTCCTTCTAGCTCTTTCCCATGATTCTCCATCTTGATTCTCTCTCTGAACCTCAAACCCACACACACAAAAAAAAAAAAAAAAGTTTATTTTCCTCTCTAAAAACAGAGAATCTGTGGCATTCTCTCCCTTCCGCCGATCGATTTGATTCGTGAATTATAGTGATAGGGACAACGAGGCAGTTCTCTCTCCCGATAAATTTACATGCTTGTAATTCAGGGAACAGAAGTAACCTGGCCTGTTTTTTTTTTTTTGGGTTTGCTCTTTGCTATTTAAGGGAAAGGAAGGCAGGCAAATAAAATAACCCTTCGTCTGATTTGGACACAAACCACATCTCGCCACGTGGAGGAAACTGATTGGAGGAGGCCATCACGGACGAACACAGTTCACCTGCTGACGAAGACGTCCGGAGTGATGACGACAACAAGATGAAGAAATCAACGGTCCAGAATAAATGGGACATGGGACCCACATATCGCAATGCACGTCATCAACGGCTGAAATTATGCTTTTATTTACCCCTTGAACCAAAACAGGAAAAAAAGAGGTGTAAAATTTATATAAGCATCAGTATATGTGGTGGAATCTGATAATATTGTCTTTTTTAAGAAAATTGTAAAGTAAGAACATTTAATATAGGAAAATTCCAAAAAAAATCATCGAATTTAGAGATAACAACCAAATTCATCTCTAACTTTTAAAATTTCCATATTCATACTGAATTTGTAGATTTTTACTAAAAAAAACATTCACAATTTAAATTCTTATCAAAATCCTAATCGATTCTAACTAATTTTGACATACGTGGTATTTATTGACTGAACACGTAGATACACATCAGATTATTAGAAATCTACGTGGCATTTGATGAACCAATTGATTTAAATTCGGTTCAGTTAACAACCCGGTTTGAAAAAAAAAATCGATTCGATAAAAACTGAGTAAAAAATAATCCGGTTAGGGTTATTATCTGTTCTTTACATCAGAAAGAGTAAAAATCGAAGGAAATTCTAGAAAAATGAAAGAGAACGACGTAGTAGGTGAAACCGAAACAGGAAGCTGCGATCGAAGTTTGAAGCTGATAATCCAAGGTAATGTGTTATAGTTCGATGGAATAACCAGGTAAGGATGAGTTTTGCAGAGATTTTGCAGAATCTACACCTTGTGGAATAGGCAAAATCCCCAAAATCTAGGGTTTTTGCAATATTGGGTTTTCAGAACCTTGGATTTTTGGAAATCCCCTATAATGTCGATGTTAATATGCAGAGTTGTGTTTGAAGTCTTTTATTGATGTCTTGTTTCGAAATTGTAGAGTTTTGCAGTAGTTTTATATACATATATCGGATGTTATGGATGTGCTGTTATGGTTGAGTTTTTTTTTTGGAATGATGGATGTGTTGGTAACAGATGAGTAATATATCTGAGGGGAGTTCTAGATCTACCTCAAAAGGTTTACCCCGTGAGTGTGAATGTGGAAGTCCAATTATAGCGTGGACATCACGATCCCAAAACAATCTAGGACGAGTATTCTTCCGCTGTGCTAAACATGAGGTCAGTATTAAAAATTTCATGTATGATAAAAATATCTATAAGAATATGAATATGTTGTGTTGGTATTTGTATTATAGGGTAACTATCCGTATGTGTTTAAATGGGTTGATGAGGCTATGGTGGAGGAGACGGATGATTTATGTAAAGAGTTAGAAAAAATCACGACAGAACTTAGAAATCAGAAAAAAGAGCTGGATATCTACAAAAGGGAGCTGAAAAAAAATACAATCGAGCTGAAAAATAATACGGTGGAGCTTGAAAAAAACACGGTGGAGTTGGAGAAAAACATAATGGAGCTGGAGAAAAACACAATGGAGCTGAAGAAAAACACAATGGAGCTCGAAAACGTCAAAGCTCGAATGGAAGGTTTTAAGGATATGAGAAACATATTGGCTTTAATTGTTGTGGTATTACTATGTGTAATCTATTATAATGTATTACCAAAGGTTTAGGAAACCGTTGATTAAGTATGTGACTTATGTATGTTCACTATGTTGTTTATGTCATGGATTAATTGTAGTAAACGTCAAAGCTCATATATATATATATATATTTAGACTGTTTGTTGAATTTGTTTGGAGAGTTTGATTAGGGTTATGTAAATATTCGGTTATCGGCATCTCGACCCACAACAACAAGTAGTTCCCCCTTTAACTCCCACTTCAAAAAACATCCATCAACTCCAATAACCGGACGACAACATTTCTTCCACGTTTCGCGCAATACTTCAAAACATATATAATACATGTCAAACAACCCATCATCTAACACTATTTCAGTAGTGGTGTTTGGATTAGACCTACGGAACTCATGATCATAATCCCACAACTTAGCAAACTGTTTTTCTTGATCTTCATTGACCATATCTAATGCAATACGCCTTGCCTTATAACATTTACTGATCGACACCTCCAATTTATACTTCTCCATCATGTCATGTTGAATTTCTGAAGCTCGATATGACGACTTGCGTCTAAGAACATCACAGAACAACTTAGCAATATGTCTCATTGACACATCCCGGAGAAATTTGTAGCATTATAGTTGTGATGGTGATGCAATACTTTTACCATCCACTTATTTATTGGCTTTTCAAAATAAGCGTAAATCCTTCACTTACAAGATTCTACACGACATACCGCTCCTGACCTCTCTTCACCCCAACATGTCATTCTAATATTGTGTTGAGTATCCAAAACATAATTCAATAAAGTATCCTTGAACTCAACCCCGGAATTAAAAACCTGACCTAAACAGAAATGTTTTTTCAATTCGAGCACATTTCCCCTAACATTATTTCCACCTGTAGACTTTTTTCCTAACCCTCTCTCATACTCATTCCACTCATCTTCTGTCTCCAATCGTGTATATGGATAAATATCATCATCATTTATAAATTCTTTATCACTTTCATACTCTTCTTGTTGTGTTTTAAACTGAAACTGAGTACCTCATGTTGCGCCATGGGCCTCCTTTTCTAAATCTCCAAACCGGGGATCCTGTTCACCTTCACCCTTGTTCTCTTCGGCCTCACCCTCATTCTCTTGACCTTGACCATGACCATCATTCTGCTCACACTCATCCTCATTTCCCCCCTTCTGACCACACTCATTTCTTTGATGTTGAGCTGCGGGTGTTGCGGGAGAAATCTCATGATCAACAAAGATATCTAACTCCCCCACAACTTTTGCCAGTTCACACATTTAACGGATTTCCCAATCTACACCCTCCCTAATCACGAAAATACGCTACAGATTCGAAGTAACAGATGACTCATACCTCAGATTTCTTCGACCTCCTTCGAAAACTCCAAAAGCATCCAGTTTAAGGCACTAGGTCGCGATTTTCGACGCCGGAGATTGAGTTCTGGGACGCACAGACTATAGAACCACCGAGTGAAAATGAAGAGAAGTGAAAAGTTAAAAAAACCCTAGTCATTCTCGATTTTTTCAGTTTTTATCGATTCGGTTTTTTTTTTCAAACCGGGTTATTAATTAAACCATATTTCAGTCGATCGGTTCGTCAAAAACCGATAGATTTCTAATAATATGACGTGTTTTCACGTGTTCAGTCAACAAATGCCACGTAGATTTCTAATAATCTGAAGTGTTTTCACGTGTTCATTCAACAAGTGCCACGCAAAACGTATGTGTCAAAATTAGGTGGAATCGATTAGGATTTTGATAAGAATTCAAATTGTGAATGATTTTTTAGTAAAAATCTTCAAATTCAGTATGAATATAGAAATTTTAAGAGTTCGGGATGAATCGGATAGTTATCTCTAAATTCGATGATTTTTTTGGGAATTTTCCTTTAATATATAACATATATGTATGCTGGATTCTATCCATTTACAATACATTCCATTTCTTATTAATACTTTTTCAATTGTTATATAGATTAAAAAGACCAATATCCTTTTCCTCCAAATCCAAGTTGGAATGCGGTCACAGCAATTATTGCCGGGATCAAAAGCCATTTCAGTTCAGATGTAGAAATTGGAATCCAGATTATATATTTTTTTATTTAAATTCGATTTGTGAATAATTGATGCATACCAGAAAAATGTTTTTTTTAATATTATTTAAAATTTTATTGCAGACAAATTGAGTTATATATTTTATAGAAATTCTCTTTAATAAAATTTTGTTATATCAATTCAAATTATGAACGAATAGATTATGTGATAATTTTAATGTATCTATATCAAATAGATAATGAATTTAACATTTGAAGTAAAAGAAATAGTAATAATTTTATATTTTTTATAAAAATTATACTGTAGTCTAAAAATAAAAATATTTGTTTGACTTTATTATCCAAGTCTCCGGTAATTTATAGATTAGATAAGAAAATTTTCACCAATTTAATATATATATTGATAGAATTATGATTTCGGGCTTGGATACATGTTTAATTCTTTTTTAAGATAATTATATTAAATTCTATTTTTATTTATAAAAATACTAATTTTTAATATCAAGTTTTAAATTAATTCGATTAGAATTTAGTTTTTACAATTTTAAAAAATATAACCATTCATATATAAAATTGGATTCAATTACAATATATAAGATTCAATTGTGTTAACCAAGTTTACACCCTTATCCACAGGGCTATAGGTCCAAATTCAACTTCAACTAGAACATGAACTCTTCTAGCCTTTGACATCCGAGTGCCCAGACAAAAACTAAATATTAAAACAAGAACAGCATAAAAACAAGGTAATTCAATAAATTCACGTTTTTTTTAACGAAATCGGAAATACCCACATATCGAAGTTTTGTCTTTTGAAACTCTACTAACATATGTCATCATCTCTAAAAACCCAAAAAAAAAAAACATCTTATTATATATGGAACCTATACAAAAAAAAAAAAATCGAATAACATCCGTATACGAATTTTAACAAAATTAGATTTCAATTAACTTTATATTAATCCAAAAACCGCTATAGAAAACTCGTGCCGGCGGCGCCACGATGCAGGAGATTGTGAGCGATGTTGTCCCTCGCCTGAACCGCAGCCGCCGACCGGAGATTATTCTCCGGCACGGTGACGTCATCGAAGACCTTGAACCCTGATTCCGGCGACATCTCCTCCTTCCTCATCTCGCATATATTGTGAAGCACACAACACGCTCCCAACACGTACGGAAGATCTTGTAGCTTCACCTCTGTACGCTTCTGCAGACATGCCCATCGACCTTTCATCCTCCCCATCGCCGCCATGGCCGCCGCCTGAATCTCTCCGATCCTCTCGTTGAACCCGTGTTGCGTCCATGTCAGGTTCGTCCTCGTGTACGGAACCAGGAGCCAGTCCGTCAGCGGGAAACCTGAATTCCCGACGATCCACCCGTCCCGGAGGAGCCCACGAGCCGCTCGTTGCCGGAAAAGCGACGATTTCTCCAGGATCTGGTCGTCCGTGAGTGACCCGGGATTTCCGATGCAGACATCGGTGAAGATTCCGTCGGAATTTACAACCCCTTGGACAGTGATGGAGTACGATGTCTTCTGGTTCCTGTCTGTGTGTCTCTTGTTGAAATACGCGGCGACGTGGACCTTGGGAGCGATGATGGGGACATGGGTTGTGTAGATCGACCCGACAACGTTCGGGATTTTGTACAGAGATTCGAATCTCTCCTTCGTGGATCTGAGTTCTTGCTCCGATGGCCACCGGAGGTACTTCGGCATCAACACGTCGTTAATGGCTCTGCAGACTTCGATCACGAGCTTGTGGCATGTGGAGATTCCCAGGCCGAAGCGCTCCGACACGTGTCGCAGCGGCGCTCCAGTCGCTAAACGCCAAACGCAGACGCCGACGCGTTTTGGCGCCGGAATCGCGTCTCGGAGCATCGTGTTCTTCTTCGTCACCGCCTCTTGTAGCTCCTCGCAGATGAGGTTGAACGTCGATTTGCTCATCCTGAACTCTCGCCGGAATTCTTCCTCCGGGAAATCCGGTCGGCTCACGCGGTCCCACCAGTCTGTCGGCCGCTCCTTCACCCACAAACGCCTCTGACCCGAACCCGGTCCCGGTCCCGACCCGGATGCGCCCCCAACCGCCACGGCGGATTTTCGCGCGCGTTTCGAGCGGGATGTGTCGGATTCCGACATTGCGGAGTAATGGGACTGTAATTGGTCGTTGTAACCGTCCATTGTTCTGAGTTTCTCCCGGTGATTTGCTTCGAGAACGGATTTTTCCCGTCGGGATTCGAAATCCCACTGCTCCTGCTGCTGCTTCGCTTCCTCGTCCAAGAGCAGAAGCGACGCGAGTATGTCGCCGAATGCTTCGCTGTTCTTGTTCGGACCACCGTCTTCGTCTTTCCTCGGACGCTTCTTATGGCTGCCGTTGTCGTCGAATCCGAAACCAGGAGGAGTGGATTCCATGTCCTGAAATAGACCAAGGAAGTGGGAACACTCGTCGACGTCCTGTGGGTTGAGAAATGGGAAAGAGGAGATTTCCATGAAAAAAAAGGGTTTGAAGAATGTTTGAAAAGCTCTGGACAAATGTGAAAACGAATGGTCGAAGTGGAGAAGACGATGAATTTCTAGGTATGGTTTTTCAGACATTTATAAAAAGGTTTCTGTCTGAAGAGAGAGAGAGAGAGAGAGAATGGAAAGGAAGCGCGTGGAAGTGTGAACGCGGTATGCGTGTGTGGGTTTGACGGTGACTTGACTTTCTCTAATCTTTTTTCAATTATTTGTTTTCTTAAGTAATTTAATAACACTATCATGTAACTTTTTTAATTATAGAAAATAGTTTACGAATTAATATTTCATTGAAACTTGTATTGATGGATATATTTCGTATGAAAATTTTGAAGGCATCTATTAAAATGTTTTAAGAATAACATTAGAAAATTGAGTAAATCTATAAGGCATCGTTTGATTTACTGAAAATATCATTGCTTTTTGTTGACAAAAGCAGCAATTATTTAATTAGCATGAAAATATCTCATTTGAAAATGAACAAATTGTACCTTAAATAAAGCAAATTAATATATCATTTTTTTTCGGTTGACATGTTCGAAGTTAGTAAGATTGGAAGTCAGATTATTACAAATTAAAAAGGTTGAGCCAACAAATAAATTAATTATAATTTGTGCCGCAAGAGTAAACAATCAGTTGTATAAAATAGAATCGTTTTTATTGAAATTTTTCTCTTTATCGATCTATAGAATTAGGGATAGATGATTTAACATTTTTATTCTTCAATTAGAGGTTAGAAATTCGAATTCTGCCCTGAAAATAAAACAATCTTTTACCGCTTAATGCACTAATTTTAGAGATGAACGAAGATTAATTTAAATGTGAATATCATTCAATCTATAGAAAAAAATCTCTTTTTTCTTGATTTCAAATATCCAATATAGAATATCAGTATTAGGAACTAATTAATTACATGATATATATATATATAACATATTCAATATTTTTTGTTAAAATTCGAGTTTTGAATATAATTATACATATATACCTTATGTTAAATTCGATTTGGTATATTCAAACGAAAACAACCACCCTACATGCCAATTATAATGGGAAAAGAGAGATTATAAAAATATTAATCAAGATCTAGCATCTAATTACAATAATAAATTTGGAAACTTATTACGAAAGAAAAAATAAATAATAAGGACCGAGTCGAAAGAATAAATATATGATTAAATTAATCAAACGTATTTGATTATAAGATTTACGCGGTCGGAGGGTCATGGGTTGGTCGCCCGTCCGACTGTGCCTTTAGATCGGTTTTGTCATTTTTGGAATATTTATAATTTTTTTAATCATATGTTTAACGATTTTTTTATTTCGGAACATGTGATTACGAGCTTCCTCCTCCTGTTGTCTCCTCCCCTTTTCACTTTTGAGGAAGAAAACACGTCTGCGTTTGCGAGTAGGGCCAGAAGTTTCATGGAAAGGGCAAAAGCGTAATTTAACCTACGAAAGGGAGAGGAAGGTGGCAGAGCGTTGGATAAAGGCCCAACGCGTGGTTCCATATCGAGTCCGTACTCGACGAAGGAAGATCTTGTACAACAATTATCCGAAAAGTTCTCTATTCAAATCATATGAAAATAATAATAATAATAATAAATTTCGTTATTTACTTCAAAAATATTATAGAAGTTTAAAAAGGAAAATACGGTGTTTTGCATGTTTAACGTCGTGGATTACACACACTTAAGGCCCAGACATTGACATGGGGAGAGATCCCTAATCCCGAATGTGCCATGTATTCACAAACACACAAATATGACCCGTTTGTTCTTGATCGCGACTTCAATATAATATATATATATATATATATATATTCAAAAATTATACCAAAATACGGTTTGAATTTGAACTACACAAGATATAGTTTTTGCAAAATCAAATTCAAATATTAAAAACAGTTTTCATTGTACAAATTGATCTATATATTGTAAGGAAGTGAATATCTTCCACTTTCCATAGTTGTATATTTCATTCTCTGTCTCTAGGGTTACAGCCATATACATACACTATATATTCCCTTGTAAAGCTCTCTGCAATGTAGCTGTGGTGCCACTCCTCACCGGAAAAATTAGAGACGGGGTTTATGAATGGCCAACTCCAAAATCACCCGTGTCTTCAATTGTTGCTTTCTCGAGTCTCAAGTCCACTTTGTCCGAGTGGCATTCACGTCTTGGTCATCCGTCCTTGCCTATTCTCAAACATGTTGTTTCAAATCATGCATTACCATTGTCTCGGGATTCATTATCATCGCATTGTGTTTCTTGTTCTAGCACTAAAAGTCACAAACTTCCCTTCTCCGTTTCCACCATCGTCTCATCGCGTCCCCTTGAATATTTATTTTCAGACGTTTGGACATCACCTCTTATATCCGTTGATGGCTTTAAGTATTATGTCTTGTTTGTCGACCACTTCACCCGCTACTCTTGGCTCTATCCTATCAAAAGAAAATCTGATGTTCGTGATCTCTTTATCAAGTTTAAGTCCCTGGTCGAAAACAAATTTTCCACAAAAATCATCAACTTTTATACCGACAACGGGGGCGAATATGTTGCTCTCTCCTCATTCCTTAGCCATCACGGTATCTCCCACGATCATATTGGTCTTACGCATTCTCCACTGCAATCTACCTAATAAACCGCATGCCAACACCAAACCTTGCCATGAAAACACCATTCGAACTCTTGTTTCGAACACCACCGACCTATACCAAACTCAAAATTTTTGGCTGCTTGTGCTTCCCATGGCTGCGCCCTTACTCAGCCCACAAGCTTGACTCTCGTTCATCCCCATGTGTATTCTTAGGCTACTCCCCCACTCAAAGCGCTTATCTCTGTCTTGATCCTATCAAGGCTCGAGTTTTTGTATCTCGTCATGTTGTCTTCTACGAGTCAGTCTTCCCATTTGCATCTCCCCATCTGTTTCTTCGCCCACCAAACCGAGAAGCCCTGTCTCCACTCTCCGATGAACCCTTTGCTCAGCCAATATCGTCATTCACTCTGCCATCTCTGAACCCCGCTCTAGACCTGCCTCCCAGTGCAGATCAATCACCTCGGATCACTGAGATTAGCCCTACACTTGACAATTTTGCAGATGAGCCGGACTCAAGGCCACCGCCTCAACATGACAGTCCAGATCAGTTGACATCTTCTTCTGCTCCAGTGGACCCAGTCACCAGCACAACAATAATTCCAGATCCATCTCTCAACAACCACCCAATGATCACAAGAGCGAAGGCGAATGTTAGAAAACCTAACCCTAAGTTTGCTTTTTCTGTTTCTGATCAGGTATCAGACATTCCAACTACGGCAGCACAAGCTCTCAAACAACCACATTGGAGATTGGCCATGAGTGATGAGTTTAACGCTCTTCTTCGCAACGAGACATGGGAGCTTGCTCCATCGAATTTCACTACCAATATTGTTGGCTGCAAATGGGTATTCCGTGTCAAACACCTTCCCGATGGCTCAATCGATCGTTACAAAGCCAGACTTGTTGCCAAAGGTTTTCACCAACGATCGGGAATCGACTATCACGAGACTTTTAGCCCGGTGGTTAAACCCGCAACTATCCGCCTGATTCTAAGTATCACAGTCTCCCGTCGCTGGTCCATCCGACAACTCGACGTCAATAACGCATTTCTCCAAGGAAGTCTCTCGGAAGATGTCTACATGGTCCAACCTCCCGGGTTCATTGATAAGGACAAACCAAACCATGTGTGCAAGCTTCGCAAGGCGATTTACGGGCTGAAACAGGCACCCCGAGCATGGTACTCCGCCCTGCGCTCTTATCTCACTGATTCTGGATTTGTTAATTCCCTTTCAGATGCTTCTCTGTTCTACCGTAACTCTGGCCAGCACACACTCATAGTCCTCATATATGTCGATGATCTTCTGATCACTGGCGACTGCGATCAAATCATCAGCTCGTTTATCAGCTCTCTGTCAGTGAAGTTCTCACTCAAAGACTTAGGTCCTCTGACCTTCTTCCTCGGGATCGAAGCAACTCGAACAGACCATGGCCTTTTCCTCTGTCAAAAGAAATACATCAGGGACATTCTTCAACGAACTCAAATGATGACAGAAATCGGAATTCCTCTGTCTCAACCTCCTAGTATCTACTGCGACAATATAGGCGCTACTTATCTCAGTGCAAACCCAGTCTTCCACTCCAGAATGAAGCATCTTGCCCTTGATTATCTGTTTGTTCGAGGACAGATTGAGAAGGGGACCCTCCGTGTCACTCATGTCAGCTCGAAAGACCAGCTTGCAGACATACTTACCAAGCCACTTCCTCGCTCTCTGTTTACGGACCTGTGTTTCAAGATTGGAGTTACGGATCGTCCTCCATCTTGCGGAGGCATGTAAGGAAGTGAATATCTTCCACTTTCCATAGCTGTATATTTTCTTCTCTGTCTCTAGGGTTACAACCATGTACATACACTATATATTCCCTTGTAAAGCTCTCTGCAATGTAGCCGATTTCATCATCTTCTCTGTATACTCTGTTATATATATTAGTATGGTTAATTACCAGGTTGATAATAAATTTTATAATGACAAGATTATATTTTTTAGGGATAATCCCATATTCCCCCACAAATTTTCGAAAAAGTTCCAATTTCATATCCCAATTTTTAATTTGACAAAAAACTACACCGGATTTCAAATATTTCCAAATTCCCACACAAAATCTTAAAATGTGTTGCAATTTCCTCCATATCCGTAAACGACGTTATGTTCTGTCAATTTTAATGCTGACGTGGCATGCCACGTCATACAAATTTCGCCAAATCAGCACATTTCGCCACATCAGAAAATAAATAAAAAATAAAATAAAAATAAAAAATTTCTAGAATTTTTTTAAAAACTAATAAAATAAAATAAAAATACAGAATTTCAAATTTTATTTTTTAAAAATAAAATAGAAAATTACATATACATATATATACACTTTTATATCTATACACAATTATATACATATACATATATACAAATATACATCTACATACATAATTATATACATATATATATATATACACACTTATACATTTACATATATACACACTTTTACATATATACACAATTTTTTAAAAAAACTTTTAAAAAATTACAGAATTTTAAATTAATTTTTTAAAATAAAATAAAAAATTACATATACATATATACACATATATACATCTACATACATATTCACATTTTCATACACTATATATATACATAGTCACACACACACATATATATATATGTGAATATGTATGTATGTAGAAATATATATATATGTATATATATATATATATTCATATGCACATATATATATATTTCTACATACATATATACATATTCAATGCATATATGGATATATATGTATATATATGAATATGTATATATA